GAATGTCTGTTTTTAATTCAGCATGATTATTGGACATTTTTTCTTGCATAATCATCATGGTTTTTTTAATTAAAGTCAAGGTTGATTGCAAAGTTTGCATGGTCGGTGTTGCTGTGGATTTTTCCATTTTGGACAACCCTTCCATTGATTTCTGGACCTGCTGGAGAGGTCATGGTTATAGTGGGATTGGAGGATGTCTTCTTCCCTGTTTTCAGAATCGTTGATGACAGGCTTGTCATTTCTTTCAGGACTGTTTTTTGTTCTCTAATTATTTTCTCAATGTTTCTCCAAATTATCATTCACTAATTGTCTCCTCTTCTTGTCTGTTATTATCTATTGTCTAGTGTTACTTTGAATATGTTTGCAGGTAATTAATTCAAATTAATTCAAATTCTCCTAAGGTACAGTATTTATCTAGCCTTTCCCAATAACATAAATAACATAAAGTGGTACACTACTACCAGAATAAATCACAATTTCTTATTCTCTATGCCCAACTTATTTCTTAAAACTAGTTTCAAACTATAATTATTATATAAATATTATATAAATATATATATGTACGTTAATATAGGTAGATACTATAAATAAGAATAAATACGATTATATATAAGTATAGGAAACTGTATAAATATGTATGCTATATATGAAAAGAGACCAAAAATTAATTAATTTAGAAGTTGACAATTATAAGTATATAAGATATCAAAATATTAGACAATATAATTATCAAAAGGTATCAAAAAGTATCAAAATTACTATTAGGATCAGAAGGTCTTCTCCTGATTTTTTTTTTCCTTTATCCCCTTTTAAACTATGTAAAGTTCTTTATTGCTCAGCCTCCAATATTTTTTAAATCTCCCTTTTTTCTGGGTCCGCTGATCAAAATCGGTACACTCTGGTATTTTCCACTGCTAGATTGTCCGTGAGTCAGCCTCTTCAGTTACCGCCTGTCAAGTCTTTGTAATGGCTGCACTTCCTGTCCTTTGGTACACACCAGTCTCTGTCTGATTTCACTCCGATAGTTCTATGGCTATAAACAGCAAAAAAGAGATTTTTCTGAGTTCTGGATCCTTATTTCTTATTACTTGCTATGCCAACCAGTCTTCTTTTGCGCAAGTAATTCGATTGATCTTTTATTCTCCCTGCTGTCTTGTAAGGCTCTATAGCCTTTCAGTCTGTCCTCTAATTCCAATCGCCGCTCCTTACCACTCTGAGCCCTTCACTCCTGACTCCGCCGGCCCCTTCTTCCGATGTCCACTTCACATAAGTGGGGAAAGGTATACTGATCCAATTTCGACACTGCAACCTCCGATCTTCCTCACCTCCCGTCTCGTTGCTGGCTACCGCAACCTCAGGTCCGCCATTGAAAGGCCAACTCACACGTGTTGGTTTGACAGAGCCGCCCGGTCTTGCGATAAGCATTTGCAATTCGCTTTATCACTCCCCTGGTTCTCTCTAATATCCGTGAGGCTCTCCAGCCTTTGCACCCAAAAAGGGTCCCCAAAACACGGTGACTAGCAGCGCTGGGAGTAGCGGTCACTCTCCCAGCACCATGTCACCACAGATCACCAAACGGAAGTCTTAAGTATTTTTATGTTTTAAAAGAAAGAGAGGAAAAGGAAAAAGCAAATCAAAACAACAATAAAAAGAAAATAATCTATCCATCGTCTCTTGTCTGTTTCAATACTTTAATAGCTATGCTTTTTTTTTTTTTGGCTTTCCTCCCAAATTCCTCTCTTAAATCTTTGTTTCTGTCTGTGTCTGCTTCTTGGATGTTCAATCTAGGTATTCCTCCTATCTCTACCCTCTTCCACTGCCTAATTTCTAAAATTTCTTCCCAGGTGCCTGTCTTCCTTTCAAACATATCTTCCAATTCTCTTAATATACTTTTCTCCTGGTTTAATTCATCAATCACTATTATTTCCATTGTTATTTCCTCTTTGTCTTCTTCCTTCTTAATTTCTTCTGTTGACTCCTCCCTTTCCTGGGCATCTTGGTCTTTACTTATCATGCCTTGTATGGTATTTTCCATTTTTTCCATAATCTCCTTAAATCCTTTCCATTCATTTCTTCCTTATTAAGTATCTTGTTTTGTTTTAAAAAATTCAATTTTTATCCAGCAGCCCAAGAACTATATTCAGTTTTTAAATTACCCTTCAAGGAGTGCACTAGTCCCAGTTCTTTATGTCCCGTAGGTTGACAGTCAGTTCCATTTAAAATAGTCCCAGAGGTTTACTGATTCAATCTACAAGTATGACATTCAAGTGTTTCTTTAATTGAATAACTTCCTAATTTTCATTTTTGAGTCTCAATAGTCATGGGATAGCTAAAAATAATCCAATGGGCATTTTCACTGTCCTTCATATAGGTATTTCCAAATTTGTAATTTTTCCTTTCATCAGCAGGTGGCACTCTCCACTTAAAATTTCAATTTACTAGTCCATCATCATTTTGGTTATAAAACAGTTATAAAAGCAGAATAAGTTTTATAAGTAAATAATTCCAGCATTTAAAATGCCTTCCCAGTTCCACATCTTCTTGTTCTGTCCCCGTATCACGCACACACCCAACCAGCCAGCTGAGAGTTAAATAAACTCTTCAAATACACAACGTCAGTGATAAGGAACTTGGCAGCAACTCCGTGGCTGCCTGCCAAGAGCTTTTACTCCGATAACACAGACAAAAATACACACAATTTGAATAGTCCAGTTGTAATTAAATCCACGGCAAATAGGTGTTGGGTCCGAAGGTGCAAGTGCCTCGCCAGAGATTATCTTTGTCCATCACAGAGTCCGGATGGCCACCACACTCCCTTTTATAGCCTGTGCGGTGTGGTCCAGTGACTCAGCTTAATCTCTGGCACGCCTCCTTTTCTGCTGCTCACGCTTGTCTCTCCGACGTTGGCGTGGGTCCAACCACAATGTTTCTTCATCACTATCCGATGGCTCGGAAACACCTGGCTCCTGGCCAATCTCTTCTCCTTCGGGAAACACCTGAGGCATTGCCAGAGAGGAGGGTCCTGGAGAAGGAGGCCTGGCCGTCTCCTTTCCTTCATGTTCGGAGCCTTCTTCCTCCGATAAGAGCCACAACACTTCTGAATTTAGGAGTCCAAATTTCTATTTATTTCTAAATCTATTATTTAACTATCCTGCACCTTCATTTCCAGTCAGGTATTTTCTCAGAATACCCCAAAACGCTGCTTTAACACATAGTTCTGAGCAAATAGTTCTGTATTGTTTCTTGGGGTTAAATTTAAAATAAAAGAAAAATCCTCTCCCCCAGTTCCAGTCACTGTTCACTGTTCGCTCCAGCACCAGCCTTTGTTGTTCTTCAGTTGTCCCAGCTTTGTAGCAGCCATCTTTGGTTGCTTCTTCTTCTTGCCGTAGCTGAAAAGGAATAAGAACCCCGCACCAGACAGGAGGGCTGCGACTCTCCTCAACCTCATAGGATACCCCTCTTTGCTTCGCTGTCCCTACAGGGCGGCTGTAGCTCCCTTCAGAGTCCACAAGCAGGAAGAACTTGGTACAGGATGGTGGAGACGTGCTCCGCGTGCCCGATTCTGCTGTGACATCAACCAAAAGTTCTTTTAAAGCATAGCAATTAAAGTATTGAAGCGGGCAAAAGATGATGGATGGATGATTTCTCTTTTTTGTCATTGTTCTGAATTGCTTTTCCTTTTCTCTCTCTCTCTCTCTTTTCCTTTTTCCCCCCCCTTTAGGTAGGTGATATAATTAGAAGTTAGACAGGAAAGAAAGAAAAAGTCTCTTAATAAAGAGTGACATGACTAAAAGCTAGAATAAGTGATAGAAATAAGAGAAGGGAGAATATTAGTATATAGATCTTTATATTGTAAAATAAAAGTAATAAGAGAAAATGTGGAAGAATTGAACAATGATAGACTATAACTTAATGTAAGTATGTATTATTATTAGAAATCCATAAACTGATTGAATGTAATGATTATGACTAACTCATTTAGTTTTATTTGTATTAGAATGTATGACACCCAGGTGCCACACTGTTCACGCATTGATTTGATATCTTTATAAAAAAGTAAAAAACTTGGGGGGGAAAAGTATTTTTAGATTGGTTAATTGCTTTCAGGATAATCTTACAATAAACAAGCCATAGTAAATTACTTCAAAAAATACATGTTGTATTCAGGATATAAACAAATGTAAACCAATAGCTAATGTAGATATATTTGGAATGAAATGTACTAAAATTTCTCAATGACTAATATTGTAAACTAGAAATTTTTAAATAATATGTAGTGCATCTTTTTGTGTGTAAGATCACTGTTATGTTTATTGGCATAAATTTTAATGTGTTGTATAATTAACACAAGGGTCAAAAGAAAATTCAATATATTTGAAATAATACAATACATAGACAATGTGTATTATAGTATCTTCCATTACAAGGGGTTTACATTTAGAAATACTTCATCATATAACACAGGAGACTGTTTTGTTCTGGAGTAATTGTACTAGAACTATTTGAAAATGGCCTGACCTCAAAATGGGCCCATTCCATATGATCAGGACATTTCAGAATAGAGCCATTTCAAGGTCAGACCATTTCCTAATTAGTTAAGTAGTTTAATCTGTACTCAGAATGACCCATTTCTGAGTTAAAATGGTCCATAATGAAAAATCTTCACATCTCTGGTTTTTGGCGAATATTCAAATATTCAAAAAAAAATTTTTTTTTTTTGGTGGCTATTATAGACCTGAATTTGAATGCCATAATACAATGGCTTGTTAGTTTGCATAGGATGGAGTTTTCATAAGAGGAGAATAGAGTATAATTTTCTGACCTAAATTCTTCACAACCCTTCATTCTTTATTCCCCAAATGTTGGGTGAAATCTGTTACTGTGCAGTTTCCAAAATGCCAGCTTTTAGGTCTATGTTGACAAAATACAAAATTCATTTTTGCATTTCTCCTATAATTCAAAATTTGTTAAACCTGTATTGGATTATATATAACTTTCAGGAAGCTGAACGAATGTTTCAGGCAGTGGAAAGTGAAACTGTACACCTTCCATATGAAAGAAGTGAAGTATTACAGATTCCCGTGAAAGCTCTAAAATACAGGTGTAGTATTTACCTATTATTTTAAATTTTATTATATATAATAGTTTATTCAATTTAATTCTGAAGGATGCTTGTATAATCTAGAATTAATCATAGTATGAAAGAGGACCAAAGAAGACTATAAAGTAGCTGCATGTATCATCATAGTGCATTACATATTACTTATTTACATGACTCTTTTGAACAGATCAGATGACTCCATATCAGTCAATTGGTATCTGTATGAAGAACTTTTCTGAACTTTCTTTAGTCCTGTCTTATCTGTTCTTCATACAGATACCAATTGACTGTATGGAGTTAATGTGGAAGACACTGAAGATATTAAACTGATATTTTTATCATTTTGTGAAAGCCTGAACAGTATTTTCATATGTACAAATAGCATTGGTTGTATGCTATAACAGGGGTCCCCAAACCCCAGGCTGGAGGGTTGTTTGGAACTGGGCCGCAGAAGCGGTGGGTGAGCACGCACTTGTATTCCCATTTGCACAAGCAATGAGCAAATGTGCGTGTTGCACTCCATTTGCATGAGCAGCAGGCAAGTGCATGCACATGCACTCCATTTGCATGAGTGCGGGCACTTGTTCCCACCACTTATGGAAATGGAGCTGTGTATGTACGCTTGCCCACCACTCACACAGAACCATCCCTTCCCACACCTGCTGGTCTGCACAGCTGAAAAGGTTAGGGAATGCTGTGCTATCAAATTAGAAATGTTGTTATTCCCCAAATAAACATCTGTTTACCATTTTTAAAATTAATATGCCGTATATTATTTGCTACTGCTTGGATTCAATATTGTTTTAGCATTTTTAGATTGAAATAAATTTGATTTTTTTTTTTTGAAGTATGACTATCCCTTCATGAAAAATTAATACCAAGTGAGTAACTGCGATTAGTCTGGAGGCTATAATGCTTATTGTTGCTTCGACTTTCTGCTGAAACAGTTATAACTATGGATTATTTTCCTTGTTAGTAAAAATATGTATCGTGAACTGCTTATTGTCAGTTTTCTATCCTTTCTTAACAGAAGCTGTTAAAATGGTATTGTGCATTAACTGCACATAATTTCACTTGATTTTTTCTGGAATACTAAAGCTCATAAAGTTCTTTAATCAATTCAGGAACAATACCTGTCCAGTTATATTATCAGTTGAAAATAAGATGAGATGAAATAACACACTTAAGAAACTTACTTTATGAAGTATCCTCTGCTAATATCATTGATCACATAGTTGTTAGTTTTATAACAACTTTTTTCTTAATTTTTCTAAAGCAGTAATTCCAATTCCATTCAATGTAGTATTATATTGTGAATATATCTACAAAATGGACACCTTGGAGTTGTGCCTGTTCACAGAAAGGCTGCCATCATTAGCATGGCAGGTCACAAAACACTGATTTATCAGAGGGCACATTAGTAAAAATGCTTCCCTTTCTTAATGTCCAGTTTACCTTTCTCTTCTTTGCTTTGAAGCTGAGTAAAAATATACTCATTTAATTTATTATTGCATGGAGCCTGATGCCCACAGGGGAAGATGATTGCTGGTATATAGGTGTCCATGAGTCTATGGTAATTCCAGAAAAAGATACATGGTAGAGAAAATAGGTAACAGTCATTCTTTCAAAAAACTTTTCCTATTTTCTATTATAATGTGGTTCAGACCTTTAGAAGTTACCTATTTTCATAGACTAATTTAGAACTAACATTGAACTGGAATGTGAATTATTTTTAACATTGAGATTCTTAGTGTTAAAGTGAAATAATGTAATATTTTCTAGTACCCGTGCAAAAAACATAACCAAGGCTTAAAATGGTAGAGTATGACACCTCATTAATGGTATAGCAAGGCATGTAGAACTAATCAGTGTGTGTTTATTACCCAGCATTGATCCCTCTATCGTAAACATATCAGATGAAATGGCCAAAACTGCACAGTGGAAGGCTCTTTCCATGAACACAGAGAATGCCAAAGTAACAAGACCTAACTTGAGGTAGATTAATCATGCTTTATGATTTTGCTTTTGCTTTATATGTTTAGAATGGAAACGGAGCTGGTTGTTCATTTATATACCAAACTAATGTTGGTGAACCTTTTGGACTTGGTGTGTCAAATATTCAGAAAATGTTTAACCTTACTTTTCTGGCATGTCACACACATCTCTCCCCCCCAAAAGAGAAACAATTATGTATCTCTCCTCCCCCATATAGGCCAACCTAAGCAGTGGTGCCAAGGATGGACCTGAAGTAGAGTCCCAAACCTCGATTTCAGCCCTAATGCCCTACTGCCACTCAAAAAAGCCTCCTCTTGATGTTCCCCAAGCACACCTGATTCTTGCTCATTCCCCAAAAGTAGTGTAAGAATGAGGCATGCTTTTAACAATAGTTGTTGTCAGGTGTTGGTGAATGCTGGTATGTCATCCAAAACATCATAGTGTTTCACCTTTGACATGCATGACATGAGTTCGTAATCACTGCCCTAAACATATATCAAAGAGCTTATGTTAAGCAGCTATTTAGAATGACGGTTATAACAAAAAGAGGATAATTTTTACCACAAATAAGCAAAACTGAAAATTAAATATCCATATTAGCAAAATGGATATGCACTATTTTGCTTTGAATGGGACAGGTAACGTGCTCTAGAATGTTCTCAAATGATGACACGTTATGTTGCATGATAAATATATTGGAAAATGAATAATAATATATTGCTGAAAGAAAATAATCATTTGGACTAATATAAGCTCTTTGCTTGAGAGTAACATGGTTTCTTTGACTATACCTTAAGAACTCTGCTCCAAATTACATAAAATAATGGTGGACAATTTTGTTTGTGGGCAGTGACAATATTTTTTTCATCCTTAAAAATATAGAGTTTAGAGATTGATGTGGCAATGTCACTGACTGAAGAATGGCCTGCCTTAAAGCACATGTTTTGCAAATTGTGCTGCCATATTTGTGGGATATGCTGGCAAATTTTGGTTATATTATTTGTGGATGTTGTTTGAGTTGCAAAAAAAGGTTCTAGTACATTGCTTTTTCTTGATACAAAATATTCCAGTTTTCTTTCATAGAATTCAAATTTGTTTCAGTATTCAGATATTACAACAATCCATGGTTCTGAATTACTCGTAAATCCATCTTAGATGCTTGCAACTGGGTATATGCAGTGCAGCCCTATATGTCTGTCTGTCTGTTATCTACAATCCATCCATCCATCCATCCATCCATCCATCCATCCGAATTTCATTGAATTCTGATAATTCAAAGAGTTTTTTATTCTAATGCTTATACCATTAGATTATAACACAAAAGTCAAATAATTTATTTTACATTTCTAAATACGTATCTATGATACACAAAGTAGGAGTCATTGTGACTTCTTAATTATCAATCCATATTCATTTATCTAAAAGAATGTTCTATTGAACTTGCTAGCCTTTAAAGAAGATACGTATAAGGTTGTATTTTAATTAAAACGGCATTTATAGGTTAAATCTTGCTTTATGCTCCTAGCAATATGCTAATTTATTACAATATATGTTATTAATACTCTTATCTTGGTGTTTTTAACTATGTGAATTTTTCTTAACAGCCCTGAAAATGAGTCATGTGTGAAAATAGACATTGAAAAAACATCTGAAGTAAAGTATGTAGATGCTGAAACCTCATTATAGAGGTAAAACAATGATATTATTTTATAGGATATATTGAAAGAGGGTGACTTTACAGCTTCTTTTAAGTACTAGGTACTTATGTGAACAATAGTGAGATTTTCCAACAAGAAATGTCTATCACTGTGGAAATATTTATTTTAATGGAATGTTTGTTTCAATTTTTAAATAGGAAAAATAATTTCTTTTTTAGTTATCAGTAAGTCAAAGATCATCTTTAACTATAAATTATTGGTTTGCATTGTATCTGTGATATTTTTATATAATTTTAAATACAAATGTCCTGTTATCAGGCATTCGCTAGTTGGGTTTTTGCAAATGTTATGCCAGTTTATAAGAACAAATCATACATATGCAATTTAGTGAATGGTGGTATTTCAGCCTTTATTTCATATTATTTTATGGATTAATTAACTGTATTTGTATATGAATTATTTTTTGTTGTACTGTTAAACACCATTGTATTGCATTTTTTTAAAAAAATAAGTCTTATATGTAGTAGTCAACTTATCAGTTTTATTTTTTAATTCACTAACCACAAGAGCAGATTATACTGAAAGAATAAAGCAGTTTTTTTTAATATAGAGGTCTAGATTGGCATTTATTTAGACTGCATTTCAATAAGGTTAAACATGATTATGGTTCTCTTTTTGTAAAATAATTTAATTTTCTTCAGGGCATCCTAGAAATATATTCCAGGAGAGGAAAGAAATTTATATCACATAAATGGAAATTTTCTAGTAGTAATATATTAGAACATCTGGATTTACATTCTCTTACATAAACTTTATTGCTACTAGACATTGAAAATAAATTTATGTAGGTTATTGAATCCATCATTTTAATATTCAGTTCCAGGAAATAAAACCAGAATTGTTTTAAAATTATTCTAAATTTTTAAAAATGTTTTCTAAAGCATATTTGTCTTAGATCAATAAAAGCATTTATATAAAATGCTGGGTGCAACTGAGTTTTATCTGTCTAATGTTTAAGCCCCGTGTTTTTGTTCCATCATTATAGATTTCAGTATACCATATATGCTACTGAAATGAGTAAGGTTTGATTGTGCTTAAATAGTACCTGTTTATTAATTTTATAATAAGACATAATAAGATTCTCTAAAATTTTAAGTTTTTTAGATCAGTACTGAAGAGAAACATTTTAATGTAAACATACATTTTAATATGGCTATGTGAAAACTGGAACTGAAAATACACATAACTTAATTTCAAACTGAAACTGAAGATTCTCTAGTTTACAGTACACCAAAGATTTTTTTTTTAATTTTACAGTGTAGAAAAGGCATTGCAATGTGTAAGCATCCCAATATTGTTGAACTTAATTTTTTGGCAGCAAGTAATGGATGCAAGATTTGTAGTTTCATTTGGCAACATCTAGAATTCTGGTAAAACCAATTATAGTTAAAGCAATTTGTGGATTTTACCTGAAATAAGTGAGAGCAATGCAAATAAAACTAGCAGTTTGTCGAAAACAGCCCAATCATTCTCAGAAATGCTCGAATGTAAAACTGAACAAAGAAAGGGGGAAAACTAAATTTGTATGCAAATGTGTTAAAATGAAAATCTGATGCCTACAAATGATAAAATTAATATTAATATATTTTGGGTTTGATATGACATATTGGAAACAGGATGATATTTTCATTCCTGAGTTCTTGCACAGCTTTTGCCTAAGGTTTTTTTTTTTTTAAATATGCACTTTTCTTTATTTAAAAATCATATTTGTTTATATCACATAAATATTTCTGTATCTTTGAAATTACATTTCAAATTCGTTACTTAGTGTAGGCAAGTTAATCATGTTCATTAGAATTGACAGGATTCCAAATTAATTATACTTGTCTTTTGTTATTACAAATATTTGTGTTCAGAGTCATGTGTAGAAATTTACAAAGACTTAAATAGATTGTTTTGAATTTTAACCCTTTGTTTTCAAATGCCTGAAATTCAATAATGCTGTTGTTCAATGCCAAAGGGTTAATAAGTTAATTTAAGCAAATATCTGAAAATTATTGAAATTCATTATTTATTTGCTAATTATGTAAAATAATTCCTAATGACAAAAATAACATGACTTGCAGTGTAATTTACATTATTTGCTTAAATACTGCTTATTAATTCATTATTACACATTTTATTTTTTTTATAGCAGACGTCCAAATATGATGTTTAAGATTCCAGGGCTAATTTATAATTTGCTGCTTATTGTATGTTGTAAAACATTATTTCTTTTTCCATAAATAAAATTATAGTAGTAAAGCCAAACCATAAAAGACATAGCTTTTATTGTATGTAATATGAATATTGCCCTAAAAGCTATAAATGAGTAAAATTACCATTACTGATTAACCGGAGAGTGAAATCTAATTATAGCCAGTATATTCCTATTATGAGAATACTAGTCCCACTAAGTGACTGTTTTCTAGATACAGACTGATTTAGTGGCAATAACTGCAATGTACTTTTTCTGTTCTTTAAAGCAACACACTTTCAGTCCAGAATATTTGAATTTTAATTCTATGTAAACATTTTGTTTAAAATTGTTTAATGTCATAAACAGAACACAAATACTTTTTTTCATGCATTTGTGGGAACTCATGAACCCATATACACATATACATACATATATAAATGCTTAGTTTCCATATTTCACATTAACTATACTAAAAACAAATTATTCAGTTTTTCAAGGCAATCAATAAAATATGTAAGATAATGTTCAAAGCATGTACATTATTACTTAGGATCCAATATGATATTTTTCCTCTTTTACTTCAATTAAAATTTATTTCTGTGTATGGTAGTCTTATAAACAGTGTTGTTTGGTAAAAATTCCAACTATAATTGTAATGTCAGATAACTGTGGTGCATTACAAATATTCATGGGTTAATTCATGGGTTTTAATTGCTTAAAAGGGTTTGTTAATGAACTGTGTTATGTCCCCAACATAGTGCATGTTGGTCATTAGTAAAATGTATTGAATGTTATTTTCTTTTGATATATTTTGGTCAGTAATGTAATGGTTGTTAGAAAGATTAATATAGGTTCAATGTGTTTCTTAGCACAATTACTATGAAGAACCCTTTAATTTCATGAATATAAGTGTGTAGTGTCCATAGATACTTGTATTAATACAAAATGTTGTCCTGTGATTTTACTATTTTGAATTTTTTAATTACTTTTTAGAAATTTATCAAAAACAGGAAAATGGTTATAATTGGTGTGAAAATTAAAAAAAATCATATTTAGCATATATTGTCACTGTTTTGCAATCTTAGAATAACTTATTTAATGGACAGGTTTTTATAAATACAGTTTATTGGTTAGGAGATGCATCCTTTGAAAACTTTCCTTTTGTCACTGATACTTTGTTTTGTAAGTGTCTTCCAATGTTCAGAGTTGCTTCCTGAACAAAACCATCTACTTTGATTTGAGGTGTAATTCCACAGTATATTCCAATTTATATAACTGTTTTCTAATCATACATCATTTTCTTATAGAATTATATCCAAAGTTACACTGTTTGAATGTAGAGATAATATTTTATTCTTTTATATGACGCCAACAAAATTCTCCAGTATGTAATGGAAAAAAATCCAATGTTTTATCATTTGTTTAATGACTATTTTTTGTAATATTTGAAAAGGTTGAAAAAAAGCAATAAAATGTCACTGCTTTTAAAGACTCGAGTTATTTTTTATATATACATTGTACCTGTACCAATGATGCTTTTTCAAGAGGCAACTGGACTTTCTGGTTTTTCTTTGAAGATGTTTCGCTTCTGATCCAAGAAGCTTCTTCAGCTCTGACTGAGAATCTCCATAGACATTGTACCTGTAGGATTAATATTTCTAATGAGGGGGGGAAAGGACCCTTCAATATTAGACCCTTTCTCTGAGGGCCTATCATTCTGAGAGTGAACAACTAGCAATTGGGTTTCCTTGCCGCCATCACTCCATCACTATAACCAGTTTCTCTTTTCCATACCAGCCCTTTTGGAAACCAGAAAAGGATTGAAAAGGAAATCCTTCTCCCACTCTAGACCTGACCAAACACTGAAGAGAAACAAATGTTTAGGAATTAGTAGCTAGAAGTCAATATTTCAGCCAACCTGAGGAGGATGATAGAAGCCCACCAGCCAAAACTGAAAGAAATAAAAAACCTTATCAAAAGAAAATAGGTTTCTGAGGGAAGGAGGGAGGGAGGGAGGGAGGAAGGGAGGGAGGAAGGAAGGAAGGAAGGAAGGAAGGGTATGACCATTAATATGAGTCTGCTAATGTAGTGATCTTCAATGCAAGCTCAGAAATAGCAGATCTTGTTAAACGACTTAAGCCTGGTAATGATTTTATTGCCACTAAAGTTATTCAGTTGTTTGACCCTGTCCCAACTTTAATTTCATTTATAGATTGTAAAGTATTAATTCCAAAGGACTAGGTTTAGTTTTGATACCATGTTTTCCCAAAATTACAACTTATTCAAAAATTAAGGCCTAGCTCAATTTTTTGGGGGGTGGGAGTAATATATGCCCTATCCCAAAAATAACCCCTTGTGAAGGGGTGGTCATGGCCAGCACAGGAGGCAGCCCTTCCATTCCTCGGTCATCTCATGGCTGCTCGGCCCCTTAACTGTGGCCCATGGATCAGCTAATCCAGCGAGGGCTGGGAGTTCTGTCTCTCTGGGTGCCTGGAGATCTTTCCAGCACACTCTTGCTAGCCCCAGCCCTGCTCACGGTGCCAGGCAACCTTGCAACTGAGGGCCCCTCTGTTCTGTAGCTCACATTGTGGCTATAGAACAGATGGCGACTACAGTTTGAAAGGGTTTTCTCTGTGCTATTTCTTTTCTCCGCTCCACCTGCCTGCCCGTCCACCGCACCTGGGCCACCGGGCACCATCTGCCCCAAACCAAGCAGTAGGGAGGCTCCTAGCGCCCACTGCCCTGGCAAAGGTGAAGCTGAAGCAGGCAGGGGCTGCGTGGGGCTCCTCTGATGGCCTCCCCACCCCACTCAGGGTTGGCCCATACAAAGGTGTGAGTATGGGTTGAGTTTGGCAATTAACTTTCCTGCCTTTTGCGAACTTTTGGCTGCATGCAACGAAAGCAGCAGAAGCAGTAGAAGTCTTTCTTTCTCTCCTGCAAGCTCCACTAAAAATGAGTCTTTGTGAGACTCATCGTACCGCCGCAGCCTCTTGGAGCAGGACTCTACAAAGTTTGTTGTACTGTTGCATGCACAAACGGCAGCACCGCTGCGAGCTTTGTCATAGTCAAATGTCGAGTGTCAAAAGCCCCTCGACAACACATCACCTTGATGGATGGTATTGAAGACCATGAAGGGGATCCAGAGAATACTGATGGATTCCAGCAACAAAACACGGTGGAGGGGGGTGTTGCGTTAGGACACCATGTACACTAATAGTGGATGATGGATGGAAGGCAAGAAGAGGAGGGGTGGAATGGGAATGTAAATCAGCTGCTGAAGAGATAATGAAGAGGGGGGGGTGGAATGGGAATGCAAATCAGCTGCTGAAGAGATAATGAAGAGGTGGTGTGGAATGGGAACGTAAATCAGCTGTTGAAGAGATAATAGTGTGAAGGGAATAACGTCCTAAGACTGCGATGAGCATGAACGGAACAAGCAGCAGCTTTGATTGTGACAGCTGTGAGAGATCATTGCCTGCCTAATGATAGTTAACTGTATCCACACCCTATAAAACAATACAGGCGGAGAGCTAGGGCATCTCCCTGTTTTGCTTAGCAGCTCAGTCTCTACTGTACACTGCTGTGTTGCCTCCATTAAACCAGGTTTTGGAATAAATCCTCCTTTTCGTGTGTGCATGTTCGTTTGTGCCTGGTGAAGCACTGGCGGCTCCAGAGGGGCTGAGACAAAGTTGTTGGGACTACCATAAAAAAAACCCTTCTCACAAAAAGTTGGAATTAATTGATTGAACTTTTTTTACGGTAGTCCCACAAACTTGTTTCCCTGCACACAATGGTGAGAAAGGTGATGGAGCTGGAAATCAAGTACCGGTAGGCAAAGAAACGCTTGGAGGAAGCGAGGGCACCTGGGTGGTGATGAGTGGGACAAGCTTTTTTGCCCAGAAAATCCTAGTTTTTGACGGCTGATGCTGAAAGGCAAAGAAAGAGCTACCGGGAAGAAGCCAGTCAGTCCGGGAGTTGGGAATACCCTTTCTCCCCCGCCCCACCCCTCCCCACCTGCCATGCCTCTCGATAAATAAAGATGAAGAGACACCAAGAGAAGCCCCGTCTTGCTCCATGCATATCGCTTCTCCCGTGCTCCACCTGCCACTCCCCTCCATAAAGGGGGCGGGTGCCTAAATGAGGGGCAGGAAGCCCCTGCCATGCCCAGTGAGTGGGGGAGAAGAGATGGCAAGAGGAGCCCTGTCTCGCTCCATGCGCCCCAATGAAAGGCAACCGCAGCCTGGCTGCTTCCCTGCCCCGCCCTCTCTGGCACTGGAAGCCAACTGACAGGCACACACTCAGTCGCTCATTCATCCCTCTCTCTCTCTCCCTCCCCCTCACCGGCCAAAATCAGCAGGCCAGATTCGGTGAGCTGAACACACCACCGCTGCCTGGGAAGAGAAGAATATGATAAATGGGCTCTCTTGTAGTGCCTCCTCTCCCTCTTTTCCTCCCAGGTGGTGGCAGTGCATCTGGCTCACCTAATCTGGCCTGCTGATGTTGTGCGACAGCGGCTCTGACCCAATCCTGGCCAGCAATGCTGTGGGCAAGAACCAGCAATGCCAATCCTGCTTCATGGCTGTGCAGATAAAGCCCGCACCGGCCACTGCTTGGAGCTCTGGCACCAGTTCCCCTCTCCCCAATCCCAGGTCGTCAGGGTTAGGGCTGGCAAGAGTGTGCCAGAGATCTCCAGGTGCTGGAGAGACAGAACTTCCGGCCCTCGCTTGATCAGCTGATCCGCGGGCCATGGGCTGTGGTTAAGGGGCCAAGCAGCCATGAAGTGATTGTGTTCGCTGCCTCCTGCAATTTGAAAAAAAATAAGACCTCCCCAAAAATAAGGCCAAACGATTATTTCACGGGTCAAAAGTAAATAAGACACAGTTTTATTTTCAGGGAAACATGATAGTTCCAATCAATAATAAAAAGTTATCTGGGTTCTGCTTGCTAATTTTTGGTCTATGGCCAAACATGTAGTCCTTCTACAAGAATTTTGAACTAAGCTGGAATATAATTTTTGCTCATTTATCTTTTTAGAGGGAATACAATCTAAATACTTAAGGGATTTATTTCAAATCCCACAATGTGTTCCCAACATTGTTTTACACCATAAGGCTGGCAGGACAAACACTGAAATTCATATCCCTCTTTTATTGGCTAAAGTTACTTTTTTTCAGCTACAATGGTGCTGAATAAGTGGTGGTTATCATCAGTCTTTGGAATTCTGGCCATCACAGCATCCTGCAATCATATGATTATGATCTGGATACTTGGCAACTGTTGGCAACAGTGTTGGGCTCCAAATTTTTTAAACCGGTTCTCTGCCCTAATGACTGGCTAGGTGGGTGTGGCTGGGTTCCATGTGATTGAATGTGTGTGCCCAACTCTACATCATTTGTGTGGGTGGTACCTGTATGGGACAGGGAGGGTTGGGGGAGGAATCCAGGGTCTCCCATGGGCGGCGGGAAGAAAGAAAGATCCAACCTGTGTGTGTGTGAGAGAGAGAGGGAGGGAGGGAGGGAGGGAGAGGGAGACTGTGTCAAGCTAGACTGGGAAAGCTGGCTGCGAGAGGAAGAGAAGCTGGGTAAGCTGGACCCAGACGCTTCCCAGGTTCCCTCATCCCAGAAGCAGCAACCTCACACTCTCCTCTCTCTGCTAGCCCCCTTCTTTGCACTGGATTGCCCAGCAGCAGAGATGGAGAAGACGGCAGCGGTGGCCGCTAGCAGTGAGGGGAGAGTGCCACACAGAAATGTCATCCCCTTCTCCCTCTCCATTGCTGGGCGATTCCATGTGAAGAAGGGGGCTAGCAGAGAGGGGAAGAGTGTGAGGTTGCTGATTCTGGGATGAGGGGACCCGGCTTCTCTTCCTCTTGCAGCCAGCTTTTTGGGGCCATTTTCAGGCAGTTTTTGGGGCTGTTTTCAGACTGCTTTTTGGCTGATTTCAGGCCTTTTTTCAGGCCGATTTTCAGGCCGATTTTGGCTGGAAAATGGCCTGAAAATGACCTGTTTTGGGGGCATTTTTAAATCCATTTTCAGGCTGGTTTTGGGCTGATTTTGGCTGGAAAAATGGCCTGAAAACAGTCCGAAAAACGGGCGGGGGCAGGGCCAGGCGGTGGTCTAATTTTTCGGTTCTCCGAACTGTGCAGAATTGGGCAAACCAGTCCTAACTGGCAGCAGCCCACCTCTGGCAACTGGCTTGTACTTACAAGGTTGCAGTATCCCATAGTCATGTGATTGCAATTTGCTACCTTCCCTGCCAGATTCCCAAAAGCAGTTATTTGACAGAATGGCAGGACAGAAGATGGATGGTGCAACGGGAAACAAGACCAGGAGATGGACAGTGTGTGGCATAAGTGAAAGAAAATCAGGAAGATTTACCAGAGTGACTTGCAATGTTCCCTGCTGGCTTCCTTACTGACTTTGCTTATAGGAAGCTGGCAGGGAAGGTTACAAATGGTGATTTTGTAACCGTTGGATTAAACTTTGTAAATGTGAGCCCGCTGTCAAGCTTCCAAATCGCAATCACATGCCATGTCAGTGCTAGAATGGTGGAACTTCAAGGACTGGTTATAATTACCATTTGTTTAGTGCCATCACAACTTTGAACAGTTGCTGAATAAGTGGTCGACAAATAAAGACTACATTTAAAGCTATGCCTAATTGCAATTAAAAATTGATTAGCAAATTGAAATTATATAGGCTATTGTTCCTAGTAATGTTTCACTAGTAACACTAATCTGAAATAAATGTGTTCCATTACATTTAGTCACAAAAATGATCAGTAGGACTGGTAATAGAAAAAATATTTGAATGATTGGCAACTATTAATTTGCAAATGTATGCTATACAGAAAGTGTGAATTATCTTGTGCATTGTTGAGAAGTTTGCCCAGTCCTCTAGCTTGAAGGGGAAAACTTAATTCCTGAAAATTCTGGTAAGAGAAGTGAGATTGATGGATAATTTTTTATGATCATATTCCTGGAATAGACACTCATTCCTACAAAGAAGGAATAGGGTGCTTGGGAAAAAACTAATGGTCTTCTTCAAATATGTTGATGGGGATTCCTAGAGGTGAAGTTTATGTTTACTCATACTGGTAATAGAAAAAAGAACATGATGCCTGTAAAACATATGATGATTTACTTGTGTAATATAGTAAATGTTCACACATTATATGCATTACCTGATATTTAGTACTGAGGAGAAATAAGAAATCATGGTACTTCTCAGCATAAATAACAGGAAGAAATGAGCTGTTTGATAAGAGATTAACAATTCCATCTAAAATGCTATTTGATTAAAGAGCTGGTCTGGAGATACACAAACAAAACTGAAAATTCTCAATACATGGATGAGAGAGTGGAACACAGATTAAAGACTTCATATTTTTTAGGCATTTGGGTACAATTTATGACAGGCTGTAGTCCTATGGTCTGTCTGTCCAACTTTAATTTAAAAACTCCATATGGTGCCTTTCTAAACAAAAGTTTCTCAGAATATTTTTGTGTGTGTATGCCTTCAAGTCAGTTTTGACACCTAGTGACTGCCTGAAGGACCATCTATAGTTTTCTTGGCAGGATTTTGGAAGCAGTTTATCATTGCTTATTTCCTAAAGCTGAAGAGCCTTAGTTCATCCAGCTGGCTTAATTCCTAAGGCGGAACTAGAACTCAAAGTATCCAGGAATAGTTTTAATTACTTCATGTTATTTTATTTTAATTATTTAACCCCCATTAGGCACTAAATTAAAAAAAAACAGAAGTAACTAAAAATCTCCACTTTGGGAGTGCATGTGTGTTCTTCCTCACAGTGACAATGAAGAGTAAACATCACTGAGATAGTTTGATCCTGTAAAAACCTTGCATCATACAAGACTATGGGAGCAAACAGAGAAGGGTTTCAAACATCATCTAAGGTTCAAAAAGAGACATACTAGAAGTTCCCTATGATGTTATCGCATCAAATTTAACATTAAAAAGGGGTCTAATAATTTTTACACTGAATCTTCAGGGAAGGCAACAGTACTTGGGAAATAATTCAGCAGAAACATTCTTAGCAAATGTGGAAAGTTTTTTTTTTTGACCAAACAGGAACTGAGTACTGTAGAAAATCCAGAAATATGTCATAAGACAGGATATGCAGTCAAAGTCAAAGAAACAATGGCAAATATATGCCAGGAACAGTGGAAGGGGAGAATTCTGAGGAGAAACATCCATGACTGGAAAATATTAAGTTTGTTTCATATACTTATGAAACAAACAAAAAGTTAAAAAGTTATAATTATATAGTTACCTACATCTAAATTATATTAAACAAAATATTTTTACAATCCCCAAGGCATGTCACATATTTTGAGCACTCCTAATATTTGGAAATAGAAAGTTGAAAAATTTAACACACCCTCAGTTTATAAAGTAGATGCTGGAGAGTGTACCTACTTCATTAAGGTTAAGATATTTCTGGGCTCGCCTTATTACAAGCAATATATAGACTAGTGTTTTTCAACCTTGGCAACCTTAAGTTGTGTGGACTTAACTCTCAGAACTCCCTAGCAGCTGACTATGGAATTCTGGGAGTTGAAGTTCATCCAGTTTAACGTTGCCAAGGTTGAAAATACTGATACAGATCTATCACCCAATTTCTACTTCTTGGGAGGAGTAGGATCACCTTCCCTTTTACAGTTTCCCTTCACTCGCGGTTTGACGTCACCGTTCTTAGGCACACCCAAGGGGCGCTGAGCTAGAATCGTTCTTTTGGATTCTAGCCGCGCGGCTTCTCTGTTGCTATGACAACAACGGTAGTGTTAGTCGTTGTCCCGGAACCTTCTCGGCCCTTTTGTACGGAGCTTAATCATTGGTTCTAAAAAGCGGCCTTTAGAATAAAGGCGCATGTTCATTGGTTCCTGAGTTTGCGGATTTGATCGCTCGGCGCACTGGACCTTTTTATTGGGCTTAAAAACAAACATTGGTATAATTATTACTGCAAAAATAAATAGTAAACAAGAGAGCTGCCACGGTGTGAGCACTGACACTCCAAGCAGGTGAGTGATAGAACAGCGGCCGAAGGGCAGCGATGTCCTCTTCTCTGCAAAAATTGGGGAGGAGACACAGAAGGAGCTGTAATGCTCAATCCCCCTGGCCCCCTCCTGAGATCAGCCTCGTGTTTTGCGATTAGAAGGAAAGGCGCGGAGACTGAAAAGCCGTTCTTCAAACTCCTTTTACTGCCTGAGATTTCGCGTCGGCGCGAGTGAGACAAATATGCATATTCATGGACAGAGTATGTGACTTCTTTTACTGAAAACCAGGAACAGCTCTCAGGCATCTTTAAACAAGCGCTGACTTAACTGAGCTATAATAAGCTTCTGTAGAGCCCATTCGGCCAAGTAAACAAGGCACACGGCCTCCTCCGTGGTTATAATGCAGATGGGCTCAGGTTAAAAAAGATAAACGTATACTGTGTATAAATGAGGGCCTCAATTTAATGCGTAAGGAGTACAATCTATCATTTCTTTGTATCAAGAATTGTATATTTTTGGGGGGCGGCGGGTGTGTGTGTGTGTCTCCATTCTTTAAAGATTTCTCACCTATTTCTTTATAAGAGACCTACAGTGTAGGTTTGAGAAACCCGGATAACCAGTTAACCATATGTAGTATACATATGTATGTAGTACTATACAATTTATGTATTCGTATTCTACCTTTATTGTTTTTACAAATAACTTAAGATGGTGATGCAATGTGTTGCTAACAAGCTGGATCTAATTATTTCAGAAGTTAGCAATGCAAAGGCAATTCCGGGTTTTTTTTTTGGTTTGCTGGATGTCACCTACCTTACAGTGCAGTCTAGAATACCACATCTATATAAGTATATAGTATATACACTATATCAGTAATTGACCTTGACTAATTTCAGGAGCTAAACAGGATCAGCTTAACAGATGCCAAACAGATGGTGAATGCCTTGAGAAATCCAGGACTGTTATAAAGACTGGGAAGTCAAATATAATGGGAGACAACAATACTTCTCTTCCATAACACTGCTAAGAAAACTAGATGGATGAAACTATCAAACGTCAAGCTTGACATTGAGAGTTCTCTGTCCCTGGGAACTTCTAATTTAAATGCATGAATGGATATGAATGAACAAATACAATTAGAGCAGTACAGTATCACTTTAGAGATCTATTATGTGTGAATATATAATATCATTTTTCTGTTTATCGTTCAAAAATACATTTTTGTATTAAACTGTATAAAGGCACTTACACATTTAAGTTATTTATTTATCCTTATTTACAGAGGGAGGGGGAACTTTGTACATAGAATGTTGCCTTTTTAACAGATGTAATAGATATGGCCAATAGTTATGTACATCTTCTGCAGACTGTTGACTTTTTTCTCCAGAAATCAATGACAGAAGAATTTACATTCAAAACTACAAGATCTGCTCAACTAGTTCTGTGCTCTCCACATCTGAATTCCTTGTGGGCTTGTTGCAATCCCTGACATTCTACATTAGAAACCACTGCCCAAAATGGAGAGGTATCTTAAAATTAACTGGTAAAATGAAAGCCTCTATGTTGTAATGGTTAAACTGTTGAACTAGGACCAAACAAGCACAGGTTTTAGTCTATATTTATATAGGGAAACACGCTGGGAGCATTTTAGCAGATCTCTTTCAACCCAGCCTATCTCACAGAATTGCTGTTAATGGCAGTTACTGGTAAATTAAAAAAAGATCCCCATGTGAGTTTCCTTCTACTCTTAAAGGAAAAGTGGAATCTAAATCTAACAAATAAACAACCTGATGTACTATTTAAAATTCAAAGGTAGAATAAATTCCACTTAGAGATGATTTCATGAGCTGATATTTTTAGCATAGGTTTTATTATATATTTATTTTTCAACCAGCTGTTTCTTTTCTTCTGGTTGCCGAAATTCTGTTCCCATTGTTCTTCAAATATCCACAAACCAATTTTTTTTTTCCTCATTTGTTTCCTCTAAGAATTAATTCTGATGCCTCGAGGGTATAAAATGCCTGATCAACTCAAGAAGGTGAAGACCAGAGAAAAGGTAGCAGATACTAAGTCTCAAAGGTATAGTACTTTTCACTAAATGTCAGCAATATTTCCTGCATTTGCACCAGCAGTTAAATAAAGTAGTCTGAACATTGTGTTACATGGTTACTGTTTCTCTGGTCACCACGTTTGACAGAAATAGCTGTGGCTGACAAGCCTATATAAATGTGGACAGAGACAGGAAGTCATAGAAAGGTGCTGTAGAAAGGGTTTTTTTCTACAGAACAGTATGGATAAAATTACATTTCATAGTGATATGGTAATTATGTATTGTTAACAAGTATATAATTTATTTCTTCCTAGGGATTATTCTGATCTTAAAAGGCTTCTGGCCTTTCTAAATGTCCAGTCTAGCAAGCAAAAGGTACTTCTCCAAATTGCTATAATTTGAATCAATGTTTAAAAAATAGCAAATCTTGTACAGAGAATTCCATAGTTTCAATATGCTTACAAATTCTTCTAATAAATGCAATGAATTGCATTGAGTTCATTGGAACTCAATGAGGTTTCTAAATGCTTATGTTTTATAATGAATTATTTTGTGTTTTTTGTGTTCTATTTGCTTTTGTATTGCTTTAGCATTTTGTTTGATCATAAGTCAAAGATTTTCAGAGTTTTGGATAATAATTGGATAATATTTCATGTCTGTCTTGGGTTTCAGTGCTTCATATTTCTAGCAGAGCAGTTTTCATTAAGAGTTTTGAAAATATGAGGTAGTGTAAATTCCAAAAACACTGATTGAACTAGAATCGGATCCTAAGAGACAGTATTGCTTAGATTAGATTAAAATGGATTTGTGAAATAGATCCATGAGTGAAACAGAACCCTGCTGTAAATATTTGACATACCACAAGGGATTACATAAAAGTACTGTCCCCAGTATTTCTACATATTGTCAGCTTTCTGTTCAGGAAGATCAACCTGTGAAGGTTAGCTCCTGCTCTATTCTGTTTTATCATACTAAGACTGGACTGGCTGATAGGTAGATTGCTTTTGGGTTCAATTCAAGGTGCTGATAATGATCTATAGATTTCAACCCTATAGCTAAGGTTAGGTTATTTTAAGGAATATCTTTCCCCAATCACATCTACCCCATCCCATGAAGTCTGTCAGAAAGAGCAAGTTGTGGAACCTAATCACAAAGGATACTATCTGATGGGACCCAGGAGAAGAGCCTTTTCTACCATACCATCTGCCTTTTAAAACATCATTTCCCCTGAAGTCAGATTGGCCCTGATCTTTGTAATCCTCTGGAAGGGCCTGAAAAGATGGCTTTGCCATCTGGCCTAACGTGGTCATGGAGCCTGCATAGTGGCTGTACTGCTAGTAAAATTGAGTGCATGTCCCACAATTATATTTCTTGTGGTTTTTAATGGTTTTTGTTATGCTTTTGATTATTTTGTTGAATTGTTTTTTGTTTCTAACTGTACTCAGAATCACATGTGCGAGATGAGCAGCTATATAAATTTATGAAATACTATACATAGAGAAAGTCTAAAGCAGAGGCTGCAGCTTAGCTTCCATATTTTCAGGCCATTAGGCCCAGAACATCTGGCAAGAATTGTCTAGAGTTCTACACTGAGCAGATCATATGTTTCTATATAGTCTTTTGTCCCCCAGAGCCAATTGGCAGCTTCAAAGCAAGATTCTAAGTTGAAGTCTATTGAAGCTGCTCTCTTTGTGTTGCTGATCTTTCAGTTAAATACTCTAAATTATTGGCATTTTCCTCCAACAATCCACATTGTGTGTTTGTGTATTTCTGGGTATCTGTGTGTAAAGATACTCTCAAATCTAAATGAATATCAGTGACTAATCTTTTTTTTTTATTTAAAAAGGTTTTTATTTTATGATCAAACAAGTATACAATATAAGCAATCATTCAAACTATCATCAGAAAAAAATTTTTTTTTTTAAATCCATAATCCATCTCTAAATTCAATCTTCAACCCCTCCTCACCACCCACACCCCCGACTTCCCAGAACAAAAACAGGGCATAGATTTCACCAAACATTCACTAAAATAAACTAGCTAACTGCAAGATTTAATAGCTCCCAAGACCCCTTAACTCCCCTTTTACAATTTCATCAACCTCCCTTTTTATAGACTCAAAGTAGCATATAATCCAATAACTCTAAGAGTTTTAAAACCAATAACAAATATTAAGCATTCAAACCTTAAAAAATCTCTTAATATATCAATAAGGTATTCAATTCATTTACATAAACATTTTTCCCCCTCCAACTTTTCTTAAAATTCAGATATTTTGAAATCTTATAACAAAAAGTAAACCTAAATATTCAATAGTTAAATTTCTACATTTTCCCCCTTCGTTGTTCCTCCCTCCAACTTTTAAAATTTTAAAACATAAACATCAGCGTTTTAATCAACCATTAATACATAAACTAGAAAATCAAAAAAGATTAATCTTACATTCTTACTCTCGAATATTTTAAAAATCTTAAAACAAAAAATAAACCTTAATTAATCATAATCTGTACATTTACCCCCTCAGTCTTTTTTCTCCCTCCCACTTTTAACTCCTAAAACATAATCATTTTTATCCATTATCATTATTTAAGTTTCTACATTTTTTTAAAAACATAATCATTTTAATTAACCATTAATGCATCATATTTAAAAATCAATATTTAAATTTATACATTTTCCCCCTCAGTAGTTATAACACCTAAAACATAATCATTTTTAACCATTAATAGAACAACTACAAAACCAAAAAGAAAGGTTAATCTTCCATTCTTGCTTTCTTTTTATATTTTTTCCAGTCTTTCTGTATCCCTCCTACTTCTATTTTGAGGAGGTTTTTAATTTTAATTTGAGGTTGATGTAACTGCAAAGATTGTCCCCTTTTTGAGAAAATTTCCTCTGATTTAGAGCCCCCATATCGCCTCTTCTTGCTTATATAGATCAGTTCATTCCTTCGTCTGTAAAACCAAAGATTGTCCAGAATTTGTGAAAAAAAGTTCAGTTGTTTCTTTTCTATTAAATGTATAAATACCACTGGCAAATCTCCTTCATCTTCTAAAACTTCGGAAGCCTGATCATTTACTACTTTCTTCCAAACCAAGTCATAATTTTGAAAGATTCTGTCAATTTTTTCAAAAAGAGCAGAGAATAAGCTTGAAAATTCTTGAGAAAATTCTTGAAAACCAACCAATTCCACCTTCTTTGCTTCAATCAAAATGTCTCCTGGATTGTCATCATGCTTCGTACTTGCTTTTGTCTGCTCCATCATTTCTGTTGTTATGCCTTTGAGAATTGCTATTTGATTACTTATAGCTGCAGTATGATTATTCATGGCTTCTTTTATAAATTCTGTAAATTCTGCATTAGAATCCTTATAGTTCTGTAAATCAGACAACTGTATCATTTCTGACACCTCCAAATAGCTTCCAGCACTTTCAAAATCTCCTTTCTTGGAAGCCATTTTATTTTAAAAAGATTTTCTTTCTTTCCACAACCATAAAGTCATAAAGTCACAGCCATCCTCTTGAACAACTTTCAGCAATTTCTTTATAAATCACCAAACGAAATAATCTTTTCCCAAACAGCTCTTTAGAATGTAATCCAGCAATTTAAAGCCAGTCTCTGAGCACGAGTCTATTAGCAGACACTTTCCTTTCTAGCTTTCACTTTTAAAATCACAACAAAAATGCCATCTTTACTTCCAGCTCAGAAAATTCAATTAGAAACATTGTATTCCCGGAGTTAAGCATTATACTTGCAAAAAGCTTGTCCTCCTGCTTCTGTTCCGCCTGCTTTTTTGAAATCATTTAATCTTCTATTTGACAGCAGAAATTGGATGCGATGCCTAGCTCTGTAAAAAACAGAGTCCCCCCCGGATCCGGAGCTTCAGCGGGCTGAACGGGGAGCTCTTGCCCTCCGAACCCCTGGAATTAATCCAGGGGTTTTCGGGGAGCTCTACCCTCACCCACCAGCTCTCCTCCCCTTCTTTTCCCGAAGGGGAGATTTTCAAGCCGTTTGACAGCTGATTAGCGCTGTCAGAACGGCTCAACGGAATCGCGGGGGCGGCGGTCTAAAAAGACCGTCCATGGCGCCGCGGAGCCAACCCGGAAGTCCAGTGACTAATCTTAAATACAAAGAAATGATAATAATTGTATCAGTTATATATATTTAATATATCATTATTACCATAATTGTTATGGAATTTCAGTGACAATCATTGATATTATTCTGGTTATATTAAGTAATTTACTTAACAGCCAACCCTGTCTTGCATTTGCAGTTGCCAGCCCTTAACTTTGAAAATATTAATAATAATATGACGAAGTCTGAACAATATTCTAGCAACTCTTGCAAAGAAAAATATAGAGGTCAATGGGAAGAATCTACTGAAGCTGTTGAACTGGAACACTTCAGGTATAATGTATTGAATGTATTGAAATTAATTAAGGGTTATTGTATTTGCATGCATTTACTTTCAATATTTTTTAACTTTATTCTTAAGCATCTATGCAAACTTGAGGATGAGATTTACAAAAGGTTTGATTATAATTAAAGTACAGCATTGAATACAGTTAAAGAACTTTCCAAAGTTTCCATCAGCCTTCAGAAATTATTGCTCACTTAGAATTGTTCGGATGACACAAGGGAAAAATATTAAATACCAATAGTCATATGTATTATGATTATGTATAACTTTAATTTAATGAAGTCCTATTTAATTTTTTTAAATCCTCTCACTATTTTTGGTACACCATTAGAAAGGCCAAATGAGATTTTGGCCTGAAAAAGTTGTGAATTTCTATTCTAGAGCTTCTTAGAACAGTGATGTACTGAAGTTTACTTATTTCTGATACCTGAATTTAAGGCATAACTGTTGTATTAATCTATCAATGCCTCATATATGGAAGACAATGTAGAATTTCTATAGTTTAAGTCATGTGAACAATAATGTGAAGTAAGAATATATATATATATATATATATATATATATATATATATATATATATATTTTCTTACTTCTTCGTAGGGTTTATGTGTGTTTTTCTTCTAGCCAGGTTTTCCCTTGGTTACGTATGTGTAGAGGAAATGCTATTGAAGTCTTATTTAAAGGTGGGAGAGTAGGGCAGGTAAAATCATTTGTAGTTTCAGCTGACAGAATGATAATATAGTAGCTGAATTCATATGGAAAATATATTTTCAGTGACCATTTATAAAATGATCTTGAATGATATTCATTCTATTCTACAAATGGCACATTACGAATAAAAGAGTGCCCCTGACTCACTGCACAAACAAGGCAAGGCAGATTTAATGCAGGTAGACATTGACTCACGAATCACTCAACAACCATTCAGATTTATAGTAGCGTCCCCAAAAGCTATTCATGACTTCTTTCCAGTTACAAATGCTACAGTGGAATCACAGTCATTTTCCCTTATCACAGACCACAGGAATGCCCACTTAGCTCCCCACATCCTTCTCACCTGTCCTGACATGCCTTGAATCTGCTCTGCTTCCCTGATGTGGTCTGTGCAACAATGCGGGCTTCTAGAATGCTGTGCAGACTTCATTAGGAAAGCAGAATGGACCACTACCTTGCTGGCTCATGTAGTGCGATCTCAGAAGTGACCACTATTTTCTGAATGACCACAATTCAATGCGGTCATGCTGGAAAGGCAGCCACTTCTGGGACATTTCTACGTGGCCCAGGGACACACAGATTTGTTCTGGTTTCCTAATGTAGTTTGTGCATTACAACAGAAAGCTGTCAGGGTTCCAAGTAACACCCCCAACAGAAGTAAAACTCCAAGGCAGGCATTTTCCTCACAGTTTCATTTTATTAGAGATGTCATATTGGTACATCTGGGAAAACCTGAATCTGAAAGGCCCCGGGTTTTCCCCACCTAAAGTGAAGTCAAAGTCCCTTCCCCTGCACCCACCTGTCCATCACATGGACCAATCAGCTCACTGTCCCAACTGGAGTTGTTTCCCAGTCATGCCTCTTCAGGTGCAGGCTGAACGTCCTTGACTCCCAGAAAAAAGAATGTTGTTATGGCTATACATCTCACCCTGTCTCCATCCAACCCCCACTTCCGTTTCCCACAGCATGCCCATCCACTGAATGTGGCAGCCCTGAAGATCCAAAGTTAAAGATGGCCCCCAGAGCTGACAAAAGCTTCAGAGCTTTCTGCAGCATTGCACAGTTTGGCTTAGGGAAATAGAATGAATTTGTTTGTTGCTGAGCTGAAAGTGGCTGCCTTTTTGACATAGCCGCATTGAATTGTGATGAGGGGCTGAGGAGGAAGCCTAAGCCCTGCAGTGACTCTGGTGAGGAAGGCATGTGGGGACCTGGTGGGAAAACAGCCACCGGGGACCAGAGGTGAAGCAGGTCCAAAGGCTGTGGGTGTGGTAGGAAGCAAAACATAGAGTGTCATGGGCTGGGGGAGACTTTGGGATGCCTGGTACAGGTCTAGGTCTGTGGCAGGCCTCCAAGAGCCTTCCCCACCCATGAGACACATGCCATCCCATCCACTTAACAACCCACATAATTGTTAAACCACTGCATCTTGGAGAGCAGGAGTTGGTGGGGAAAGACTCCATTATGGCCATAAGTCGAGAATTACCTGTATTGCCTTTATTTGTTCTGAGATAGTCAAGGGACCGGAGTTATAAGCAGACATAAAATTGACAGGAAAGCTGTGCACATTTCTGTAGCTGGCTAAATGGTGACTTGGGACAAATGGATGGTTGTATTACCAACTCTTACATTGGTGAAGCCAGAGTCAGTCATATTTCATTTTCCAATAGGCATATATGGCAGTTCTTGGAGTATATAGCACTAAAGATAATTGCAATATTGAAGGAAGAGGGAGTGACTCTGCTGGTGTTTTCCCTGAGATTAAGCAATGAGTCCATACCTGAGCTGCAATATGATTGTAGGTTTTTTTTACAAGTTTAACTTCAGGTATAGGTTGAATTGGACTATATATTTTCTGTAATTGATATTTTTATAATGCTTTTTGTACTCAGATTTGAACCTTTTGCGATATCTGTTTTGTCTTTTGTGCCTTTAGTATGAATTACAAGAATGAAAGAAATTTTAGTCAACATCCACAGCACAAATTATTTCAAGATATCTTCGTAGCTTTGGTTAAAAACCGGCTTATTTGCAGGTAAGAAATATAGACTATATGTTAAAGACTGCTGCAAAATTGAAGAGATTTTGAGTTTCTAAAATATATAAATTTATACAATTAGATACAGCATTATACCAGATGAAATTCTTTAATAGATGAGGTTTACAATAAGCCCATGTGGACAAGATAATTCTATTGGGGTGAGATGACTCTTCAGATAACCTGGATGCATTCAATAAAGGTCTTTAAAGATGATGATCAATACTTTGAATTGGACCTAAAACCAGACTGATAACCAATGCAGTGGGAAGAACAATGGTGTTATATATCACCTTAGGAACCTCCAGAACTGTCCATACTGTTTTGCACCAGCTGTAGCTTCTGAATATTGTGAATACTCTTCAAGGATATAGGGCATTGCAGTAATCTAATTGAGAGATGATTAGAGTATGAGTGACTATATTCAGGCCTCATGATCAGATAGCACAACTGGCACACATTGCAAAATTGCACGAAGGCCCTCCTATGCCAGGATTATCCTTTGCTCTTCAAGCAAGAGTTTAGAAGAATCCTCAGATTGCTAGGCAGGTCTTCTGAATGAGTAGTGCAACCATTCAGAATTAAAGATGATAAACAACTAGATTTTGAGATTCCCTGCAACCATAGCCATTCCATTTTACTAAGCTTCAAATTAAAGCTCTTGTTCCCCATCCAGATCCTCACAGCCTCCCAGTATTGCAAAAGGGTAGCCACAATATCACTTTGATGACTAGAGATGTAGAACTGAGTTTCATCTAAATACTGATGGTACCTCATCCCATGGTAGTGGATGATGTCACCAGATGGTTTCATGTCAATATTTGATAAAGCCATATTCCATGATAAACTCTTTTTGTGGATCTGTTGGCAAAATTCAATGAGTTTGGAAATAAAAACAAGAATGTTAACACTCACTTTGATCCTACACTTGCTGCTATTCTTTTCCTTAAGAAGTATAATCATATAGAGCTACTGTAGGTAGTAAAATTGCTAATGTTCACAAAATCATATCTGTGAATGCAAAACCTATAGTACAGGTTAATATACACAGTTTCAACTTGCAGATCATAACATTGAATTTAACTGTAAAAAGCAAGGATTTTTTTATATCCTCAAATGTTCCAATAAATTGTGTACTCTGCTTCTCATAGAATGGGAATGGCTATTTAAATAAAATATGGATATCAGCTTTTGTTTTTTTAAGTGTTTTATTATATTACTGCATTTTCCCTAAGACGAATGGGTAACTCATGGCCTGTGGTTACCCTGAAGCCATTAATAACACATTTGCCAATGCCCCAGCAATCTTAGAATCTTTTTTTCCCCTCTCCTCCCCACTGAGTGAAATTAAGCTTCTACATGGAAGCAGAAAACTGCCAAAGGTAAACTACTGTCCTTCCATTCCCCAAACCATCGCCAAAATCAGTTTGGTTCCTCAGATTTAGTTTGGTTCATTCGTTGACATTTGACTGGTTTAATTACTTCTGGAGTCCAGAGTCTTAAAGTAGAATATACAAAGGTTCTCTTTACTTTAAACTAACAAGAACAATCCAGTGAGACTGGAAATGAGCAATAGTAACTGACATAAAATTGCCAAGTGAACTATGTGGTCAAGGAGGATTTGAGCTTGGGTCCAGTACCTTAATTCTATATCAGTGGGATAGAACACATTCACTAAATGTATGGGGTTTAATTCAGTCATAAATCCCTTTAAGTTCAGTCAGTCTGATTTAAATAGCATTTTTTCATATAATGTGATAATTTGGCTGAATTTCAAAGGCCTCATTCTATGTTTTAGTTTTATATTAAATTTATTTGTTCTTTATTAACTGAAAATTAAATAGTTTAAATAAATCCTTTTCTGTGTAGGAAAATTCAAAAAGAGCCATGGCCCAGAGAGATTGTTCCAAATAATCCAATTTTGGAGAGTTTATTTACATCTACAGCAGTACTACCTTTGTTTTTTACTAGATTATTTTTAGAAATTAACTTGATGGCCAGCATAACCTTGAACCATCATTTTAATCACGGCTATTTTTGAGACGGAATGAGTGAGAGGAAAATAAATTGAAATGTGTCTTACAGTCGAATAGTTAGGTATTTGCATTTTAAAGGGTGTTAAATCAAAACTTTTTAAAAAATGAGTTGCAAAAAAATAAAGATGAGGGTTTTTTTCATATTAGTTCAAACATAGTCCACTTTTGCTTTTTTCTTGAGTGTTGAAGCTATTGAAATCTTGATTAATGATGGATGGAGAAGTGGTAGGCATGAAGTATCTGTTACTCTGTCACATTCAAAGTATGTTTTCTGCAATGATTTACTGTATTTTTTGGAGTATAAGGCGTACCTTTTTACCCCCCAAAAGAGGGTGAAAATCTGGGTGCATCTTATAGTCCAAATGTAGCCCCGCCCTCTCACCGGCCCCCACCCTCGGACATTTTCGGGCAGTTCCAGGCGGCGGGGATCTGGGTCGGGGCGCAGCCTGAGGAACAAACCTCTTTGGGACAGTCGGGGGGGGGGGAATCTGCATGGCAGCTTTGGGGAACAAGACGGGCCCCACGGTTTGTGGCTGGTCACCCCTCTGGCCACCCAGCGGCAGCTCAGGGAAAACAATGGTCATGATGACTTCACTCTCCAGCAATGTGAGGAGCCGCCACTGCTGCCTAAGCCCTCTCCATGCCCAGGAGCCGAGCCAAGCCAAACGGGAGCCCCTAAAGTGAAATGTCCCTCCTTTCCAGCCACCGCTGCTCGTTGTCCTGATTCCCCAATGCAATTCTCAGAGTCCCGTTTCAGGCGGTGGCCAGTTTCCCTGAAATGTGCAGCGGGGAACCAGGAACTGTTTTGGATTCGGGGAGGGGATTGCAACGCTGCCATCTGAAAATGCTTTTCTTCCCATTGCACATTGCAGAGCCGCATGCCCTCGTCCTCCTTCTCAGCAAACTCACCTTCTCTTTCCTCCAATCCTGAAATGTGATGCACTTTTTTTGCCTCTGCACATCCCATGTTTGGAATCGGGAAGGGGACCGCCTGAAACCGCCGTGGCTCTGAGAATTGCATTGGGGAATCCAGCCAATGGGCAACGGTGGCTGGAAAGGAGGGACGTTTCACTTTAGGGGCTCCTGTTCAGCTTGGCTCATCTCCTGGGCACAGAGAGGGCTTAGGTGGTGGCGGTGGCTCTTCACATTGCTGGAGAATGAAGTCATCGCAACCATTGGCTGCCCTGAGCTGCCCGCTGGGCGGCCAGAGGGGTGACCAGCTGCAAACTGTGGGGCCTGCCTTGTTCTCTGAAGCTGCCGGGCAGATTCCCCCCCCAGACCGTCTTGAAGAGGTTTCTTCCTCAGGCTGTGCTCTGACCCTCCCCTCAGAGCATGTGAGGGGTCCCTTCGGGGGAAAGCGAGTAGTCCCTGCGGATCACAGGAGTGCCTCAATAAGTTTTCTGGAAAAGAACTTCTCAGTAATCGACGCCCTCTACCCAGCCGAGTCTCAGAGGCCCCTGTCGCTTGCAGGAGGAGGAAGAGGGCGGCTAAAGCAGCATTACCTTAAATGCTGGTAGGCAGGGGTAGAATTCTTTTTTTCTTGTTTTCCTTCCCCAAAATTAAGGTGCATCTTATACTCCAGTGCGTCTTATACTCCGAAAAATATGGTATTTATTTGCATAATGACATCATTATGATGCAGCTTACATGCTATCAAGAGATTAAAATAGTACTATCCATTAGTCTTCCTCTTGCTATTATTGATCTATACACTTACTGTTCAGTTTATCTCTGTCAATCTTTCTACTGGCTTCTCCACTCATTCCACTTATTCCTTCCCAAAAATATCAATAAAACCTTGAGTTAATGGACTTTGTCCATTATTTGGGATAGGATATTTGGATTCAATTTTGTCATTGCTGTCAGGTTTTGGCAGATGCCTAAACTAAGAATGATTCATTTCCAAGGACAATTCTCAAAGAGTTCTATTTACCATGTTTCTCAGAAAATAAGCAGTCTTATTTTCTTTTAGACTTGAAACTAAGCACTTGGGCTTATTTTCGAGGCGGTCTTACTTTTTTTGAGGTGCAGCAGGCCAGACTTGTTGAGCTGGATGTGCTGTTGCGTCCATTCTGAACATTCAGCATTCAGAATGGAGGCTTTTTGGTGAATGGGAGGAGAATGGGGAGGGGGATTTTGCTGCCTGTCAACCTTCCCTCAGTCTGTGCTGAGCTTGAGGAATTGATGACAGGCAACAAAATCCCTCTCCCCATTTTCCTCCCATTCGCCAAAAAGCTTCCATTCCGAATGCTGAAGGTTCGGAATGGAGGCTTTTTGGCAAACGGGAGGAAAATGGGGAGAGTGATTTTGTTGCTGTCATTCTTCCCTCAGTCTGTGCTGAGCTGGGAGGAATGGATGACAGCAGCAAAATTTCCGTCCCCATTTTTACCAGAAAACCTCTTGCGAGCCTCCCCAAAAGAGGGAAAAAGTAAAGCAGCTAGGCGTGGAGCTGCTGACTTCAGGGAAGCGGCCCAACAAGCAGAAGCGCTGTGCCTAGAAAGAGAAGGGCAAAAGTTGTATTTGCACTGCCTCAAGGGGCCAGCAGGCTGCAGCTGGACAGTTGCCCCCCTGCACCCATGCTGGCACTCGTGCTGGCCATGCCCATCTCCCTGGGCTTATTTTTGGGGTAGGGGTAATATTAGGCCCACCCCCCAAAAATTAGGTTTGGGCTTATTATTGGGATGGGTTGTGTTTTTGGAGAAACATGGTAGTGAGATTTATTGAGATGAATTTCTTGAATAGAATTACAAAAATTCCAGAAAGTGAACTAATGCTCAATTTAGAATCAATGTATTTTGTGTTGTTTTGGATTAAGGTTTCCTGCATTCCTCTGTTTCATAAATTTAGAATGCACTGTAGAGAAAATGTCTCTCTTCCTCAATATTGGGCAAACCTGACTGTTTTTTATATGAAGGTTGCTTGAGCTCTTTAAACTGAGGTCTTATAAGCTTGAGATTTTATTGTATTTAAACACTCATAGTCTGTGCTGCTGTTAATAGAGCTGATTTGTAGTCTAAAACTTGAAAGAAATAAAATAGTTCGTTTGTTTTAATTTTGTTCTAAATTTATACTATGGTAAATAGCATAAAGTTTAATTAAAAATAAGTTAAATAATTGGAAATAAGTTATCTGTATGGATTCAGTTTATGAGATGCTATTTTCTTGTCTGTAATTGTCTGACTATTAGCTATAAAAATATGAAGTTGCATAATCCGAATATTTTGGCCTAGAGTTATTAATATGTGGTATTATTTTTTATTTGTTGCAGGGAATGGGCTAACCGAGCTTCATCTGTCCATTTTCTAAGAATTTTAATTTGTATAAGATTATTAATGAGAGATCCATGCTATCAGGTTGGCTTGCCTTTAGTTTACCTCTTAAAACATTCAGCATTACATTCTGTAACACAACTGTAACTACTAGTTAATTATCAGCGCAAGTCAGTGGCTTTTCTAGTAACAAGTTATATTTCTTTATGTCATTTGTCCAATCTAGTTAGTAAATTATATTCTATTTATTGTCATGGTAATATGGAATGATTTGGTGAATGCATTTTCAGTTTGTCAGCATTGTTCTAAATCTATAAATAATTTAAAGCAATTCATTATTTTCACTATTGCAGCAAGGTACATGTCCATAAAAAAGATCTCTTTTTTGTTACATTGAATTAATTGAATAAAGCATTAAAACATTTTAATGCTTTATTCAATAAATAAATAACAATTAATTCAGCAAAGCAATTAATTCAGCAAAGCAATTAATTCAGCAAAGCAGTAAAAGAGCAACAATATAGTTTTCAATTCTGTTAAATTGGTCTAAACCAGGGGTGTCAAACTCAATTTCATTGAGGGCGCATCAGGATTGTGTTTCCTCAGGGGTGGGTGGGATGGGCATGGTCAGGGTGGGCATGGCCAGCCCAACATCATGTTGGAGGTGCCTGTGGAGATCTGAATGCTCTACAAGTGAGAACAGGCCTCATGTGTTCCGTTTTCGGCTGCAACTGCCTCCTACAACCCTCTGCCAGTGAAAATGGAGCTCGGGAGGGCCATGTGCCGAACTTTGTTTTCACTGAGGAGGCACCTCGGGCTGGTCCTTCACTGTTTCCAGGGGCCAGATCTAAGCACCCTGCGGCCCACGGGGCTTGAGTTTGATACCCCTAGTTTAAACCAATTTTCTCTTTGCCAACATGGCCTCAAATGCCTAATGGACACTAAAACCAATAATCAAGGCTTACTGAAGTAATTATTTAAAATGTGCACTATAGGAATTCCCTCCAGAAAATAATGGGAGGGATTCCTACAAACTATACTATGCACTCATATATTTCAGGAAAGAGAAAAAATATATAGTCATACATATACATAGGTGATAGATGATGAAAGCATAGATATTCATAATTGGCAAACCTTAAGTTACTTCCCCACTCTTCTACTGTTACCATACCCAAGAAAGAATCATTGTCTGATGCATATCAGTTACCTTATCATAGAAATTCATAAAGCTGAATACCAAGCACTTCAAGGTTGCTCCAATTAGCACACATTCCTTCTATGTTTCTGCCTTGCTACCGTATTTCTCCAAAACTAAGACATGTCCGGATAATAAGCCCAATTGGGCTTTCGAGTGCATGCGGTAAAATAAGCCCCCTCCGAAAATAAGCCCCTCAATACTTAGATGCATGCGCAGCTGCTGCGCAAACAACATGACATGAGGCGAGGCTGGAGAGGGGAGGAAAGGGAAGGGGAACATGCTCCACACGCCCCACACACACCTGACATCCATGAGGAATGGCCTTTTCGGTGAGCTGGACACACTGCTGCCACTCAGGAGAAGAAGAGAGAAAGGAGGTGCTGCGAGAGAGCCCATTTCTGATGTTCTTTTTCTCCTGGGTGGCGGTAGCACGTTCAGCTCCCTAAATCTGGCTTGCTGATCTCAGCCGGCGAGGGGGAGTGGCAGGTGGGGAGGGCTGGGGAGGAAAAAAATGGAATGGTGTGTTTAGGCACTCCTCTTTCCGCCTACAGTCCGACGAAGTGTGAGCAGTTTAGTGCATCTTCAGTAGGAATCTACTTTTTTTTTTTCATATAAAGTGCACTGTGAACAGAACATGGTCAGACTGCTCTCCCCTGTCTTAACTTTGGTTGCCTCTGCCACGCGAAGAGGAACATGTCAAATTTGTCTTCTCGTGAAAGACCCAGACTTTTCTTTCTACAAGGGGAACTCTGTTCTTGCAAAGGTGCCATGACTTTAACTCTTTTTTTTTTAGATAATTTTTTTTTAAACAAAAAATAATAATCATAAAACACATCTTTTCAAAACGAAGCTTTTGCTTTGGTCACAAATTAAAACAAATCATTAACAAATCTTATTTTCAATTAACACAACTCAATATTTTAAACAAATATTTCCCGCAAATCTATCTATATAACTATGCCATTATCCCCAAAAACCCATTACTTAAATCTTAAATCCTAACCAGTTATCAATTCATTTTTCTCTTTCATTTGCTTAGATGGATATTTTAACAATATCCATCTAAACAGATTAAACATTCATTAATTATTTAATTATTATTAAACCTAACATGCATTTTATCTTAACTATCCCTTCCTCAAGGGCAGGTAGCTTCCATGGCTCCAGCCATCGTTAACCAGGGGCAGGCTATCTCTCCTGATTTGGCCAATTTAATTGCTCAATCTATAAGACAGGACATCGCCCAAGGACTGCAAGAGAGAGCCTCTTCTCGCGTCTCAGAGTATCTGGACGAGCAGGCCCTATCCCTTCGTTCTCACTCCATTGGGGCGAGTCACCATACACTTCCTCATTTTAATTATCCCACCTCTTTTATTATCTTTGATGTTAAACCAATCATTTCTATTTCTTGACTGTTAATCACAGCATAACCCTTTGTTTTGGCGTATTTTTATTTTTTGGCCATTACCCAGCATGCCCTTTGTTTGGCTGTTAAACACAGTATATTAATTTTGTTTTTTGGCCGTTACACGGCATCTTCAGGTTTGTTTGGCTGTTGAACACAGCATCTCTATTTTTGTTTTTTGGCCGTTACACGACATATTAAGTTTCATTTTGGCTGATACCCAACATGACCATTTGTTTGGCTGTTCAATACAGCATATTATAGCTTTTTGGCTGTTAAATACAGCATGTTCATAGTTGGTTTAACAATCTCTACTTAAACCTTTCTTTGTTGTTTCCCTCCATCTATACATTGCTTTTCATTTAATCATATTTTTCTTTATGCTTTTTCATAGCATTCATAACATTTTAACCTTGAGACATGGTTCTTGCTTAAAACATATTTTTAACTATATTTTTAAATTCCTTTTAGCATTTTCAATTAATCATATTCACCCTTATTCTTTACCTTAACATTTTACCATTAAAACATAGTTTTTGCATTAAACGTATCTTTACATATATTAATTAGTTTCAGTTAACATTAATTTCTATAAAAGCCTCCCCTTAATTTATTACAATCATCTTTACTTTATTTTATTTTTAATCACATTATCTTCATTTCCTCGCCTGCAAACATAAATTTCCTTCCATTTTCCAAGTTTTTAATTTTATTCTCCATAAGTTCAATTAAATCTCTTTTCATATTTTTATTCCAGATATAATGTATCAAATCTCTTTCTTTTAAGGCTGGGCTTAATCCTTCTTCTATTTCTGCGCCAACATTCAAATTATTATTTGTTCAACTGTAGGAGTTCCATTGTAGATTCCTTTTCTTTTCACCAAAGTCCAGCTGGTTGCAGTCAGGAAATAAAAATTCTCCTCCACAGTTCAGCAATTTTTTTTTTCTGTAGAGCTCAAAGTTCTCATAACAAAGGGAGGTTACAAAGTTCCTCTTTACGCCAGATGGTGTCTCTCTATAATCCACATTTCCCATTAGTCATGCAAGATTCCATTTTATTTCTTATTATATAACCATCCACTTTATTTTCTTCTTTTAGTTAAAAAAGTATCAAATCTTCTCCCCCCCCCTTAGTCCAATTCAAATTTTTAAAGTGTTTAGTCCTTTTACCATATCTCTAAGTTAAGTCTCTTAGTTCTTTTCCAAAATTAGTTGTTTCTCGGGTCCTTGTTCTTTAAAGTTACAGTTTAAAAAATTTCCAAATTTGTCTTCTCGTGAAAGACCCAGACTTTTCTTTCTACAAGGGGAACTCTATTCTTGCAAAGGTGCCATGACTTTAACTCTTGAAGCCCCTCGCCTGAAGTGTTTTCTTGGATGGCGTGAGCCCCTGCCTCTGTGGCGGGCTTTCACTGTGGCCCTTGGACCTGGAACTCTGATTGGGAGCTCCTGGCCCATCTCTCTCTCACATTCCAGGAAATGGGCCTCCATCCTAGGCCGCTGTGCCTGCAAAGTGGGCCCTTCGTCCCCACGCAGGCTGCAAGCTGCTGGGGGGCTGTGTGGAGACGGCTGAGGTGGGGGAGCTCTTCTTTTCTTGCAAAGCCACACTACTCCAGATGATCCTGAAAGAAAGACACCGGGTCCTTCAAATCAGGCCTGCGTGTGGCAGAGGCAGCTAAAGTTAAGACAGGGAAGAGCAGTCTGACCATGTTCTATTCACAGTGCACTTTATATGAAAGAAAAAGAAAAAAAGTAGAATCCTACTGAAGACGCACTAACACACCAGTGTGCTCACACACTTCGTCGGACTGTAGGCGGAAAGAGGAGTGCCAAAACACACCATTCCATTTCCTTCCTTCCCCACCCCTCCCCACCTGCCACTCCCCTTGCCAGCCAAGATCGGCAAGCCAGATTTGGGGAGCTGAACACGCTGCTGCTGCCTAGGAGGAGAACGTCCACGTGGATGGCAGGTGCATGTGGAGTATGTTCCCTCCCTTCCCCCCGCCTTGCCTCCTCACCTTGTGCTGTTTGCATGGGAAGCAACGAAAAAGCTGCCACAATTGTGGAGGCACCGGCCTGAGCGGCACCAGCGAAGCAGCTGGTCGGTGCTCTGGGGCCGAGGTTTAGGGATAAGACCCACTGATAATAAGGCCAAGGCCATATTTCAGGGGTCAAAAGAAAATAAGACCCTGTCTTAGTTTCGGGGAAACACGGTAATAAGCTTCTCCAAGAATTTATTTCCTCATACAAGCAATTCTTTGAAAATTTATTTACCCTATCTCTAAAAACATGGGAGTGTTATTAGGTAACATACAAACCTAACAATATTTAAAACCATGAAAGACTCAAATAAAAAGAAAAATAATAAAAAACTCCTGTTCTGGTTTCAAATACTCTCACACAATTTAATTTATTTGTTATTTATTTATTGATCAAATTTTGAAACCACTCATTTCTCTCATAGAGGGACTCTATGTGGTGTACAAAAATATTAAAACATGAAATAATTTTAAATATTAAATATTTAAATAATAAAATTTAAGAAGAGTTAAAGATTATTAAAATTCAACATTAAAAGTTAATTAAAAGGCAGATCAGGGCTTTCAGGCACTAACCAGTCATAGGGCTGCATGTTCCCTATGAAAGCCTAAAGCAAGACAGCAGTCATGTTTTCAAATCTTTCTGAAAAGCCAAAAGAATAGAATCCAGTGCAGACACCCTCAATTCCCTAAGTAAGACAAAAGATACTATGGTCAATGGTATAAAAAGTTGCCAAGAGGTCAAGACTTGCAGGAATGGATGCATTACCTCCATTCAGCTCAACCCCAGATGAGTTCACAGTTTACGCAAGGTCAACGAAATAACAAAGTATGCAAACTACAATGGTGTCTGACGGGCACTTGCCTGAATAATTTACTGTTAATAGGAGCATGTAACTTGGATGTAAATACAAGTATTTCATACTTGGATTTCAGTAAGACATTTGACAAAGTGGACCACAACCTATTTCTTGATAAGCTAGAAAAATGTGGGATAGACAGCATCACCACCAGAAGGAAACTGACTGACAAACTGCACTCAATAGGCAGTGCTTAATGGAATTACATCTACATAGAGGGAAGTAAGTAGTGGGTACTCCAAGGTTCTGTTTTAGACCCAATACTCTTCAATATCTTCATAAACAATTTAGATGAGGGAATAGAAGGGGAGCTCATCGAATTTGCAGATGATGCCAAATTGGCAGGAATAGCCAAAACCCCAGAAGATAGGCCCAAGATCCAGACAGATCTTGACATACTTGAACACGGATCCTATCTAATTAAATCCAATGTTGAGAAAAGGAAGATTTTGTACTTAGGGAAGAAAAACCAAATGTACAGCTTCCAAAGCACCAGAAGGCAAGACAAGAAACAATGGATGGAAATTAATAAAGTAGAGAACCATCCTGGAACTAAGGAGACATTTCGTGACAATGAGAACTATCAACCAGTGGAATGGCTTGTCTACAGAAGTTGTCGGTGCTCCACCACTGGAGGCTTTTAAGAAGAGAATGGACATCCATTTGTCCAAACTGGTATAGGGTCTCTGTGGAGACTAGAAAATCTAAAAGACTCCTTCCGACTATGAAGATGATGATGATGGTAGTAATGTAGAAGAATAGTATGAAATAGTCCAAGATTCTAAGAACGAGATCATGGTTGTCAACTAATCCAAAGATCATAATTTCACAGGCAGAATCCATACAAATTCCATAAAGAGCCATAGATGAATTGGATGTTTCCTGCAGGATTGCCTCTTAAATCAGGCTGCGGCCAACGGTCACTATCAACTGCCTTCTTGGCTAGATGCCTGATGGAATGTCTCTGCTCTCCTCTGCACTCACTGGGTGCTAGGGATTGAAGAACCTATATCATTGTAATTTCACTGATCTTTGGTTTTGCATCTTGTGACGCTCATACTCCACAGGGTATGCTGGAGTGACTTCTTCAAAGTCAAAGTCAGTGTTTGAGTCATGATCCATGACAAAACCCAAGAATGCAGAACAACAGGCACTTGACATCACAGAGCCATCTTGCTTATTCATCCTGGGATCTCCAAGGCTGATGAAAAAAAAACATGTTTTAGTTTTAAAGACTTTTCAGAGGGGAAGCAGGGATGGGATCAATCTCATCTCAGGGGAAATGATATTCCAGAGGGCAGGGGTCACATCAGTAAAGGCATGCTGTCTGGGTCCTGCCAGATGGAACTTCTTAGTAGCCAGGACAGACATTTTACCCTTCCTGCTAAACCTAATGAAATAGTAAATATAATTGGAAATACATTTGACATACTTACTTTTGTTTTCTCTTCTTCAGGAAGTTCTTCACGGTCTGGGTGGAATTGACAGTTTAGCACAGGTACAGTTATTCTAAAATAAATTATTGTTTTTTATACATAGTCTTCAAAAGAGTAGCCCCATGGTGAGATAAACGTCAAATAAATTTAATAAATAAATAAATAAATAAATTTTCTGTTTTCAGGGAATCACTAAACAAAGGCTGTTCAGCTTTTGAGATAATCAAAAAAGATTGAGATAAGCAAAGATGAAAATATTTATAAAATCTAAATGTAGCCTTGGGAATGGGAAAAGGATGAATGAACTGTTAAAGGAGAATTTTGTTTGGTATAAAATGTAGTAGAGAAAAATTCTGAAAGGCTTTCAAGATTCTGTTATGATATCCAGAAACTATAAAGAAACATTTCTGAAATCCTGCTGTTCCTCTTTTTTGGACCTTATCTACCTTAAAGGACTAACATCAAACTGGAAAATGTCCGAGTTATTTTTTATGAAACTCCTTTAATTATTTGTTAATCTCTTTCCTATTCCCAGGACTATATCCCACTAAACAATGAAGGAGAAATTTAAAATGCCAAACTATCCAAAGGGTCAAAATGTTCTATCCCTGCTATTATTTGGTATAATATAAAATAATATTAATTTGTAGTCAGTAAATGAATTTAAACATGCTTGAAACAAAATCATCATTCAGAAAAAAATTAAAAATAAAACAAAATTAAAAAATTATAAATTTTCATATTTATTTTGGAAGCTCCGAGATGTTTCTGGGTTGAAGGAATTAACTAGTGATATCACTGTTGCCTGGGGAACACCCAGTTGGGGACACCTGTCATGTCCCTGTTTATGAGCCCACAGAAGAGGTATCTATTTATCATTTGCATGCTTTTGAACTGCTAGGTTTGCAGGAGCTTCAGCAAATGATGGGAGCTCTCCCCGCTACACAGCAGCATTTGGGTCTACGTAAGCTATTTATTTAATAACTAAATAAATTAAAAAGAAAAAAAAAACCTCAAAGGGCAGATGGGTCACTAGGTCTTTTTTTGTCATCAGTTTTCAGTATTTTTATATTTCTGTTAGAGTGATGAGATCCGGGTCATATTATTGTTGGATTGTTTAAATCAGACAAGCTCAGCATTGAGCTAATGCAAAGATCACTAAATATTTTAATGCACAATGAACATTCAGAATTTGAAGAACATTATGGCAACTTGCAAACAGGCAAATAGTAACATTCCACAGCTGCACTGAGAGTAATTCCCAATCATTTTATTATTTCAAACTAACAGAAAGTTGGATATATTGTAAACACAAATATATTATGTAAAAAAGAAAAAGCTCCTTTGGGAAAAATGTGGTCATCTTCATGTTGGGAATGTCAGACCCATAGTATTGGTCTGTCAAGTTTAAAATTATAGCATTTTACAGCATGTAGGCCACCTCTGGCCTGCAAGCACTTCCATTCTGTTCTGCGGCTTTGGTGGCTGGGAGCAGGGCAGCGGGATGGGGCAGCAGCTAAGGAGTAGGCAGTGCTGGTGGATGGCAAAATATCAGTGCAGCATCAGTGGCATCGGTGGGGTAGTTGCAGGAGCAGAGTGGCATAGGCCCTTCTCAGCATCCCAGTTTCTAATTTTCCCTTGGAAAAATTAATTGACCATCCCTGATCTAAAGTTTATCATGTTGATGTTATCCATTCAGTCAAGTCTGAGTCTTGGTGATTCCATGGGCCAGGTCTCTCCACTTCTTCTGATCTTGCACTAGTTCTTTGAGATTTTGTCTGCTCTGGGTGATCAGCTTTGGTGATGGCCAGCCATTGTATTCTCTGACAGCCTGATTTCCTTTTACTATTAACACTTCCAAATATAATTGCTTTCTCCAATGAATTCCCACACACACGAAAGATCTAAAGTGACAGACAAACAATTGTCCAGACTTTTAGATCAGAGTCTTTTCAGATGCCAGGATTTAAATCTTGATCAGCAGTTGCCAAAAATACAAAATTATTACATTAAGCTAGATAATGGCCATGAAGCAAACCATCAAGAAATTATTGTTAGAAAGCTGGAAGGGAAAGACAATAACATTAAAATATGCACTATTGATGTCCCCATATACATTTCAAAGATTTTGAATTTCTTGTATGCAGTAAAATTTCTAAGCCATCGGAGTTATGCCTAAAAGTTTCTATTAAAATACAGTAAGCTAAGAACTGAGTAAATGACTAAGTATCAGGAAATAAAAGAGCAGAAAGAGATAAATTTAAATGCTGCCTGGCTCCCAGAAATTCTGGGTGGTACTACCAAGCCATAGTATGAAACCTGACAAATGTTCTGTATTAGTACTTTTTTTTCCTGGCAATCTCAGTGTCATAATAATGAAACTTTTGTTTTTGTAATATTATTATGTGGTATAAAAAAGTACACCATTTACAAGTTGGGAGCATATCTGTTACAAAATGTTACCATAACTTTCTCTTGATATAATATTTTTTTTGTTTTGTCATTTACAGTATATGGAAACAGTAACAAATGATTATCTTGCCTATGGAGAGGAGCAACACAACATAGACAAATTAGTCAACATGATATGTAAGTTTTAAGTAATTAGCTTCCAGTAAAATGAAGTAGTAAAGTTATAAAATAGGATGATTTGAATGTTGGTTGAAATATTTAGTATTTCTAAGATTTCTGATATTGAAATTGCTCTAACACAGCAAGTAACACATGAGTAAACAAATGAGACTGTAAGTCTTAAAGAAGTACCAAAGTTAAACCTGGTTCAATCTGACCCAATAAAACCATAGATTTTTTAAGCGAATAGGAATAATGAGGTTACACTAATTTAAATAGCTTTTTCTAAACATGGATGAACATATTTCACCTTTTGATTTAATGTATTTGAAGGATAGCCACATGGGATAGTCAGAAAAGGACTGCAGCTATTTGATTAAATTTCTATCCATTTTTTAAAAATGCGCTAATTTGTTTTAAAATTGGCAATCCTTGCAGGGTCATGATCAACTTGATTTTTTGAACATCTCTACCCTGCAGACGAGGGATGGGTTCTAAAATTTTTTACTACTGGTTCTGTGGGTGTGGCTTATTTTGTGGGAGTGGTTTGGTCATGTGACGGTGGGAGTGGCTTCATGGCCATGTGACTGGGTGGGCGTGGCCAACTCAATGTCACTCACGTCAAGGAGTCCCTTGCCTGGCCCCTCCCCTCCCAACCATTCCTTGTCACATCCAGCCTCAATGTATCTATAGTTTTGTAAAAATGTTGTTCACCTTTTTTCAACTTTATTATCTACATACTATAGATGTACTTTCATGGACCACTGAAAAGAGGAAATAGCTCACATGCTTTGCCCAAGAGTGTGATAGGCAACAGGGGCTTCCAGAAAGAATGTATAGGCAATATATTTTCCAAAGCACCAGAAAGCAAAACAAGAAGCAATGGATGGAAACTGAACAAAGAGAGTAGCTAGTTTTTCTCTAAAACTAAGGAGAAACTTTGTGACAGTGAGAACCAATATAGTTGCAGAAATATTTCGGTCATAATTTTACATATAAAATAGCCATTCGTGCATATTGTTCAAAACAGTAATTAGTATTATGGCTGATGTTTGACAGCAAGCCAAAGTCAAAGCTCACAAGAGTGCTTCTTACTCTGTATGTATACAAAACATCACATACCAGGAATAGCATATTAAGATGGACTTATGCAACCTGATGTACAAAATAAACATACACATATTTATGCTCTGGACTATAGACATTGAATGCATGTAAATCCCTGAAAAATATGTGGTAGCCCTGGGCAAAAGAAAGGCAGTAAAATCACTCTAGGTGGAGGGACAGTGTAAAATATTAACACATGATAAATAATGGAACAATTAAAAATAATAGCACAGAGTTTTTTCTCTCTCTCCCCCTTCCTTCCTCTTTCTTTCTTTCTCTTATTCTCTTTCTTTCTCTTATCTTTTTGGGGGGAGGATGTTTGTGGCTATGACAACTACTTTCAAAATTGTTACTGGATATTTCCTGTTACATGAAACTGCTAAAAGCTTTTGCAGTCATATAATGCAACAAAACATTTTTTTAATGATAAAAGCAAACTGACATATGAAGCTACTTCTAAATAACTATGTAAGAGAGGAATAAATCTTTTTCTGAAAATTACTGACGCAAATACACAAAATTAGAGCTGTAATGTGTGATAATATTATTTATAATACAATTTTGGTGGAGGAAATAAAGTAGCAAAGAGATTGCCACATTGAGAACTACATGAAAGGAACACGAATATGACAAAGTCACTATATATAAGTTGGGTAGCTATATAAATTTGTTTAATAAATACAGTGGGAAAGATCTTTGGGGATTCCAGAATTTACATGGCACTAATTGAATTTTTGATCTCCCTTTTATTTTGATACATAATGGACTAGTTTTACACTGTAACTAAATTACACGAGAGAATGTAGTATATATACCAAAAATAATTCAATAACAATTTGGGTTAAGTGATACATTGGGTTAAGTGATGTAGGGCTTGATCTAATTTCAGGCAAGTTCAAGCCTCTGTTTAGAGATACATGCGTTCTCTCTCTCCCTTCCTTCCTTCCTCTTTTTCTTTCTCTTTCTTTCTCTCTTTCTTCTCTCTCTCTCTCTCTTTTTTTTCTCCCTCTCTTCTCCTTTCTCCCTTCCTTTGAAGAATCCCAGAAGGTCTTTGGTAGGAGGAAGAAAAGCCAGACGTTTTGAAACGTTTTGTAGCTTAACTGAGCAAGGATAGCTAGTGCAGGCACTTACAATAAGCTCTGAACTCAAGCTCAGTGCACGTGGGGATCCCCAAACAGTGAGGATGAAGTGTGAGTAAAAGGGTTACCCTTCCCTCCCTCCCCCCCTCTCTCTTTCTCCCTCCCTTTCTCCTTCCTGTGAAGAACCCAGAAGGTCTTTGGTAGGAGGAAGAAAAGCCAGACGCTTTGAAACTCAGAACATGCCCATTGATCATTTGGCATTCTTAGAGCTCCACTAGCTTAGCCTGAGGAAGGATAGCTAGTGCAGGCATTTACAATAAGCTCTCTACTGAAGCTCAGTGCATATGGGGATCTCCCTAAACAGTGAGGATTTCTTTGTTTGTTTCTCCCTTGAAGCCACCCCCCAAGCCCATTTTTGCTTCCAGGGAGTTGCAGGGAGTGTTGCTAGGCACCCCCCCCCGCGGCCCATTTTGGCTTTAGCAAGCGTTCCTGCAGCCCCTGGGAGCCAAAACGGGGCGCGGTGAGGCGCTGCACCCCCCACGCCCCTTTTTGGCCTTAGCAAACCTCCCTGCAGCCCTGGGAGCCAAAATGAGGCATTGGGGGGCGCTGCAACCTCCCACGCCCCATTTTGGCCTTAGCAAGCCTCACTGCAGCCCCTGGGAGCCAAAATGGGGCATGGGGGGACTCCTGTAAGGGGCAAGGAAGATAAGGTCGCGAGCCCGGTGGGGATAGTGGGGGTGGCACAGCATGCCCTGGGGGGGGGGCTAGCGCGACTTACCTGTAGGCAGGAGGAGGCAGCTCAGTTGGGGCGCAGGGCAGGCACCATGTGGGAAGGCAGCTTAGACAGGCAAGCTGCCCGGGTGGTGAGGAGGAAAAGGAAGTGACTGGGTGGGGTGGCGACCGGGGGACCGGTTCAGGGGCGTGGCCAGCCAGACATTAATACCGGTTCTGTGATCCTCACCAATTTATCGCTACCGGTTCTCCCGAACCGGTGCGAACCAGTAGCAACCCATCACTGCTGCAGACATCTCATTTTGAATCTTAAGTCTGACATTGAATCTTCAAAATCATGTTTCAGGATCTATTAAGTTCTGAAACTGATTGCTATTTTGTAAATATACCATGGATTTTTCTCTTCAAATTTCTTAGAATAAGAATTTTATATGAGAGACATATGTTTTATTCAGTTTCTTTAATTCACAGATATTATTCAAAAACTTTCAGGGGTTAAAGATCAAAGAGAATGGGTTACAGCCAGTGGAGCACATAAGGTAATGAATTAATGAAATGAAACTAATCAGTTTCTTTGAAACTTATTTTTTTCTTTTTAGGTTTAGATTATAAATAGGATCTCTCAAATGAAATTTACTGCAAGATCCAGTCTGGGTCAGTCAACAGGACCAGAGGTTTACTCTTCTGAGCTTTCAGGCTCATGCTGGAGCCCATCCTCAGGGAATCTCTCTCTATTGGTCTACTATCGTTCTCATCTATATGGCAGGGTGAGAACCCACTGTAGTATCCAGTAAGCTAAACAACTGGACAGAAGGTACCTCTGTGAACAAATAGGGCAGAATGCATTTATTACTAGAATCCCATTCCTCACACAAAGGAGAGAAAGGAAGAAAGATGATAAGAGATACACATACATCAAAAACATTTTGAAAGCAGTAGAACACCGCTTCCGAGATCTGCATGTGGGCATTGAACACCGCCCAGTGACTATGATACAATGACAAATCATGCATTGCAAAGATTGCTTGGAGGTGGGAGATTCTTCTAATGTAATCTGCCAGATCACGTGCACAAATTATCCCTGTGAATATGTAGGATACACGGGGAGGAGGCTAACCACCAGATTGTAAGAACGCAAACGAGCAGTCAGATGAGAAAAGCCGAATTCATTAGTAGTTTCACATTGCATTGAACAGGGACAAACATTCAATTTTGCAGCTACTAAGATTGTTGGTCCTGCAGATACAAAGATAGCCAGGAAAATGATTGAAACCTGGAAAATTGACCCCTTATCAGTCAACAGGAGTGCTGATTTACTACCAGTTTATCAGGTGCTTAGGAGTCGAGGACCTGGCAGCACAAGGAAACAATAGCCAATTGCTGGCTGTCAACACATCAATCAACAATTAAGAAGGCACCATATAAATATAACTCATAGAATCGCTCAAAACACATATTCCAGTAGAGAGAAGTTCCCTGAGGATGGACTTCAGCACAAGCCCGAAAGCTTGGAAGAGTAAATCTCTGTTCCTGGTGACCAACTCAGATTGGATCTTGCAACATTATCCTGGGATACATATATTTACTTACCTTAATTCGTGAACAGTACTGTACTATTAAATTAAGATTAGGAAAATTTATTGATATTATTGATCTATTTATAGTGGAAATTAGCAATAAATCACTGGAGCATATTAAAAATTTATCAAAATCAGGTCTGAAAGAAACACATATGAAACTCACATGATTTTGATAATACTGCTGCAAGGAAAGTTGTTTCAAAAATTAGCAATTCCAGAGAAAGGGCCCAATTGTAATAATGTAAAGGAGTACAGAGATGTATTTGAAGAAGGAATTCAGTGATTTATGCCTAGCCCAGACAGCTAGAAAATTTAAAAATTTTTTGTCTTAAACATAAGAGGGGAAGGAAGAGAATCTCTGTCAGGTTTTGATATAGGGTATAATAACAGCACCTTCTATTGTTTACCTAAATTGGGTGAAATGTACTGTCTTTTCACTTTCAGTCCTATTTAAAGTTCTTTAGAGCACCGACCTGTTCTTATTATTTGCTAAGGTATCTCTAGGAGAAGCATTTATGTTATATCTGTTTCTTCGGGTATCAATTTTTTTTGGGAATTTTATTTATTTATTTATTTTTAAACAAAAACATAAAATACATCTTTTCAAAATGAAGCATTGGTCCGGTCATAAATTGGTACAAATCACTAACAAATCTTAATTTTTAATTAACACAACTTAATATTTTACTCAGTTATTTTCCTAAATTCTGTCTATTTAACAATGCCATTATCCCCAAAACCCGTTATTTAAATCTTTAAATCCTAACCAAATATCATTTCATTTTTCTTTTTCTTTTTACTTAGATGAATGTATTTTAAAAGTATAAATCATTACAATTGTTATAAGCATTTAAACAATATTTTCACTGTTGATCCCAATGTAATCATCTTCATTGCTGTTTATCCCAACATTTATCATCCTAATTTTAATTATTAATCCCAACATAATCATCTTATTTTTACTGCTAATCCTAGCATAATCATCTTTATTTTAACTGTTTATCCCAACACATCATCTTCATTTTAATCATCATCTTTTACTGTTAATCCCAGCATATTCATCTTTATTTTTACTGTTTAACCCAGCATAATCATTTCATTTTTACTGCTAATCCCAACATAATCCTCCTTGTTTTTGCTGTCATACCCAGCATAATCATTTTTGGTTTTTTTGCTGTTAATCTCAGCATAATCATCTTAATTTTACAGTTAATCCCATCATAATCATTTTATTTTTACTGTTAATCCCAGCATAAACATCTTTGTTTTTGCTGTTAAACCCAGCATCATTTCATTTTTACTGATAATCCCAGCATAATCCTCATTTTGGCTGTCATATCAACCATAATCATTTTTGTTTTTTTGCTGTTAATCCCAGCATAATTATCTTAATTTTACTGTTAATCCCAGCATAATCATTTTATTTTTACTGTTAATCCCAGCATAATCATCTTTGTTTTTGCTGTCATACCCAGCATAATCATTGTATCTGTTTCTTCAGGTATCAATTTTTTTTATTATTTTATCATGATATAAAATACAAAAGAAAATGAAAATAATGGGAAATTAGGGAAGGGGGAAAAAGAGAAAGTGTAGAGTAGAAAGGGAAAAAGGAAAAAAAAGGTGTTGCTTTCCAACTCTTAGTACAGTAGAAGATAACAATACAACCTCAACTTTTTACTTTTACGTAGTAATATATACTAGCCATTTCTATAACAACAAACCTATCTAATCCTCAAAACTACAACCAAAGTTTCATTTTTCCATCACAAGCACAAAATCCAGATTGTATCTGGTTTCTGATTTGGTCTACCCTGGTCTAACTGGCATCACTGATATGGAATTACTACAAGCCAGATTTCTATTCAGTCAGAGCCACTTTCCATTATGTCTTCTATTTCTGTTCCAGGATGCTTTGTATGCTTTGTATACTTTGTATACTTTACCATATAGGTGAAGAGGTTGTATCATTTTTACTCTTACATTTTACTCTTTATGGCTGAGGGCAATACTTAGAAGGGAAGGTACCTGTTAAATGACATCACAAACCTGCTTTTTCCCTGCATCCTATCTTGCCATCCTAAATTTTGCTGTGGGAATTGCTTGGAAGCTGTTAAGTACTCTAAGAATATAATGCAAAGAGAAGGAAAAAGATTTCCCTCTGAACTGCAACAAGTGGGAAGAAAATTTGTTTGTTCTAGGTAGGAGAATCTGCAAGGTAGTTCCCCATTTCCATAAAAGTATATATTATAGAGACTGTTTTCTCTTGTGAAACCTATACTTTGAAATAGTCTTCTGCTTGAACTTAGGTTGGTTCCTGTATGCCTTTTGGAAATGCTTGAAAAGAGCTGTTGAAGAGAACTATGGGGATATCCAATGTCCTAGGATGGATAATTGTATTATTATTTAGTTATTTCTGTAAATATTTTAATTTCCTTGATGTTTCATTACTAAAAGTTGCCACAAATTTTAGGATAACTGGATGGATGGATGGATGGATGGATGGATGGATGGATGGATAGGCAGGCAGGCAGGCAGGCAGGCAGGCAGGCAGGCAGGCAGGCAGGCAGGCAGACAGACAGACAGACAGACAGACAAATAACCATACAAGCTACAGATGAAAAAGAGCTGAGTATTTTGAAATTACACTTCCAATTAAATGCATTATGTCAGGCCTAAACTTTTCACTTTTGGCTTTACACCTTCTAATCAACGATTTAGAAAAGGAAATTGTGCCTGTGGAAGCCAGATTTCCAACTTCCCTTGCAACTTAAAAAGACTGTGGGAAGAGGTTAGGGAACGGACTGAAGGAATTGCTTCCACAGGAAATCTATAATACCAGTTAGAGCCACAAAATTTCCAGTGTGAAACATGTCATTTTAGGCCATCACTCCTTCTTCAGTGCACATCTAGGTGCCTTATACGGTCTGCACGCAGTGTCTTCGGATGGGATATTTGGGGAAATGCCCCTTCCAGAGCATAGCATTTGAAGCCATCTTTGGGCTATTTCAGCTTCAGGAGGGCATTGAGATACAAGCAGATGTATATGGACATGTATTTGGGAAACAATAGGCCATCCTCCCACCAAGACCATGTACTTCTTAGCCAAAAAAATAAAATAAATCTCAGCATGTAATAGGAAGCAGATCTGATACTGTTTTATTTAAGATGAACAAGCCTGATGATGGCATATAATTTTGGTTTTATACACCATTTGATTCTTACTTACGTGTGTGGGAAATGTATTCTTTCTTCCTTTTAATATGACTCAAAGCAATACAGAGGTATGGGTTTACTTCTTGAAATACCTAAATTAGTTTACTAGATTATTTTAGAACTTTTTCAGTTTCTAATGCTATTGTGTAAGAAATATGTAAAACTTACTTTTTGAACACAATGTTCATTATAGCTTCTAGAAGAACATTTTCAATTTTTTTTGCTTCTTGCTTTTGCAGACTTTGATTAATTTACTAGGAACTAGAGAAAATAATGTGCTAGTAGGTTCACTGCTTGCTCTCACAAGCTTGGCAGAAAGGTAAGCTTCAGTTTCTTGGCTGTTTTATTCCTTTCATTTATCAGAACATCTTCCTCTTAATGATTATGACAAATAGATTTAAAACAAAACATTTTTTGTGTGTGTTTATTTCTGATGTTATAATGGAGGCATATTTATCCTCTGGGGGCTGCTTAAATTAATAAATTATGTTGATTGTTGATTTCAACATCAAATGAAAATTTTCAGATATGAGTATATGAGCAGTTTTCATAGATCAAATATTCTTTCCAATGGGGATAATTTATATATTCAAATTATGTATCAAAAAATCTACAGTAAGATGTTTATTCATATATGTCTTGTGACAATATTTTCTTATTAGTTTTAGTTCAGATTTATGTTTATAATTTTTGTCAATTAAATATTGTAGTAAAATAAGGGGGAGAGTAAAGAATGAAATTGAGGTGAATAAATATGAACTGAATTCAAAATTGAATGCCTAGTGTGAATAAAGTATGTTGAGATAGTTTGATTGTATACAGGTAACCCAAGCTTTACAAACAGTCACTTAGCGACTAGTCAAAGTTACGACAGACCCCTCAAAAGCTACCTATTTCAGGAGTTCTGTCAGCTGCATATATATCCCCCCCTAATCATATGACTGCATTTTGGGTGGCAACCCTTTCTGTGATTTACTGTGGTTTTTGCTATTTTCTGGCCTTTCTGGATTGTTTCTAGCAAAAAAATTGCCATAGGAATACAAACTACATAGTAGTTTGCTTAACTGCTGCAGTGTTCATTTAACAATACTGCATTCACTTAATAACTTAATAACTATGCCATTTGCTTAATGACCTCTGTAAATAAAGAAATAAAATCGGGTCAGTTACATGGGTGTCTTGATTTATGACGATCATGACTTATGACAGAAATTCTGGTGTCCATTAGGACTGAATTGCAAAATGAATAAATGATAGAAAAGTGAAAAGGTCAAAAGGAACAGGAAAAAGTTCCTGAGAGAAGAAAGAGATGAGAATTTTAAAGAACGAAAGATAATGTATGAAGTAGTGGAAAAATGTGGTAGAATGATGACTTGAAGAGTAGAAAGTGTAGAAAGGTATAGAGAATGGTTTGGTGTAAATGCTATTAAATATTACTGGTGTAAGCTATGTTCACTTTGCCTTTTAATTTCTTTGGATTTCTATTTCTAATTTTGTTTCTGCACTATACATGTTACTATAGTGGAGCAAAGGGGATATACTGTTTAATTATGTACTTTTGTCATACTTCAAATTGTAATAATGCAGTCGAGTAAGTCCTTAGATAACTCTAGGGCAGCAATGGCTAACCTTTTTGCCATTGCGTGCCAAAAGCGGGGGGATGGGACATGGGGTTGAACACACGCATGCTGACACCCATAATTCAATGTGCTCCACCCCCCATGCATGCACGTGCGATTCCCCCGTGCTCCCCCCGCTTTTGGCAGCAATGGCACAGTGGGCCCGGTAGGCCTGGTTTTTGCCCTCCTCAGGCTCCAGAGGCTTTCTAGGAGCCTGGGAAGGTGAAAACAGCTTTCCCCACCTCCCCGGAGGCCAGAAACTGCCCATTTCCCGATTTCCGGTGGGCCCAAAAGGCCCAAAAATCAGCTGGCTGGCATATGCATGCATGCTGGAGCTGAGCTAGGGCAATGGTCGCGTGCCCACAGATATGGCTCCGTGTGCCACCTGTGGCACATGTGCCATAGGTTTGCCATCATGGCTCTAGGGAATCTAGTATATATTTTTTTTCTTTGTTCTAAAATGCACCATCTTATTTGAAACAAATTAGAATTACTTTATTAAGACGCATGATTGAACTAGTGTACTGTGAGGGGCATTTCTTTGTTTACTTATTTACTTAATTATGTATTTGTATTGGTCTAACTACACTGTTTAAGTAAGATACAATTTATGACTGCATTTGGGACTGGAATTTCAATTGTAAGTTGTGACGATTATAAGTCAAGGCACACATTTAACTGGACACAATTTAATGACTGTTTTTTATGGCAGCCGTTAAGCAAATCATGCAGCAGTCTGAATTAGATGGTTGCTAAGCAAATTACATGATTGTAAGCCTCAATCCACTCTCTCAAATGCACATTTTTTTTCAGAAAAGCACAAAAACACTGAAAACTGATAAAAACCACTACAAACCAGCATAAAAGCGTTGTAAATCATGGTCATATGACCGCAACCATTCGTATGTGCCAAGTGTCCAAAATGCAATCATGTGACTGCAGGGACATTATCCTTATGACTCAGAGTTGGTAAAAATTGGTTGAAAAGTCAAAAAAATAAAGTATTTTATTTAATAAAAGAAAAATGAAAGATAGAGAAAGACAGGCTATAACTATTTCATAGCTTCTCAGACTAGTCTTCAGATGAACTAGAATAATGTTTCATCACTAGTGTTGAAGTAAAGTTGAGGTGCCAGTCAAGCCAACTTCTGGATTAGCTACCTTGTCTTTTAGCTAGGGCAGGTTGTCACAATGTCATAGCCAGTGATCCATACTTAAAAGCAACAGATGTGTGTATGTTTGTGTATTCTAATATATTTGCTTTTAAAAGGGAGAGGCTATCAGTAGGCTCTACCAACTCTCTTGTGTTTTTTGATTACTGTAGTAGTCAGTGACATAATGCAACCTGCTTTCTGAAACATTCAATTTATGGGCTCTACCCATGACCAGGAGTCTCAATTTTAATCATACTAGCAATTCAGTATGTATAAATTACAAGGTCATTATGGAGAAGCTGCTCCAGAATTAGATAGCATGTACCGTATTTTTCGGACTACAAGACGCACCAGTATATAAGATGCACCAAGATTACGAAAACGTAAGTAAGAAAAAAAAAGTTTTTGCCCTCCCCCAGTCCCCAGGAGCACTCTGCAGGCCTCCCAAACCCTCTGCACACCCCGTTTTTTGCAAAAACAGGCCTGTTTTTCACAAAACTGGGACAAGCGGGGCGGGGCTTCAGGAGGCCAAAAATGCCTACATTCGGTGTATAAGACACACCAACATTTCCCCCCTTGTTTTTTTGGGTGGGGGAGTGCATCTTATACTGCGAAAAATACGGTAGTTTTCCCAATTTCATTCATGCCAACCCAGAAAATGACGTGAAAATTGGTGAAGTTGGAGTTCAGTGGCTCCAAGTTTTCATTTCTCTAAAGAAAAGCAAATTATATATTATTGACTCTGAAACTTCAGAATCATACACTCAGTAACATACTTAGGATAATATTCAAATTCAGTTCAGTTTTCAAAAATAATCTCCCTAACGTTTTTATTGTAGCCCTGAATGTCGTGAGAAAATAAGTGAGCTGAATGTTGTCGAAAATTTATTGATGATATTGCACGAATACGATTTGCTCTCTAAAAGGTAGGATATGTCATTTTCATATGTCAATTTACTTTTGTGTTGATGATTTCCAGATATTTAGCTAATATACATTCAAATCTCTGAAGTTATTCACTTAAAACTTTTGAAGTATAATATGAGGAAATCCCCAAATCTGACATTATAGTGAGATATAGTATACCTTACTTAGTGGAAGTATTTAGTGGAGGTATTAACCATGAAAATGACTGAGTTAAACTGATAACATGAAGATCTGGTTTCAAATATGCCATTAGCCCTAGCAAGTCACTGAGTGATTTGGACTAGTTCCTAACTCCCAAAATTTCACAGGATTATTATGAGAAAAAAATAGAAGGAAGGAATATTAAATGCAGTGCTGTAAACTCCTAACTGAATGTTAGAATCTCAATGTAGTAAATAAAATATTTTTGTTCCTATGGTCCATTCCAGCCCCTTAGATGGCAGACCTTGAATGCCCTGCATTGTTAGTGCTGCTGAACACCAAATTGGTCTACAATAAGGCCACCCTCATTCACAACTTGGTTGGTGAAAAGACCAACTTGGTGTTCGTTATCGAGACCTGGATGGGATAAGAGAGGCAGATTCCAGTTTCTGAGTATCCAGCTGTATTCCCGGTGTGATACCAGCCAAAACCCCAAGGTAGAAGCAATGAAGTGGCAGTGGTCATCCCAGATACGTGGTAGACATTCAGGAGAACTTCCTTTCAGATTGTTGTGTGAGAAACCCTTTTTGCTAATTTTATTTTATTTTATTATTAGATTTATATACTGCCCGAGGGACTCAGGGTGCTGAACAGCCAAGAGATAAAACACAGAGATTACAAAATTTAAAAACAGTATAAAAACCTAATTAAATAAATTTGGCCCAGAACAGATTAAAACACCCCTAAAGTTTTAGACAAATTTAAAATTTACAATTAAAAAGGGAGGTTAGGTCAGGCCAGCCTGTTGGAATAAAAAGGTCTTTAGGGCGTGGCGGAAGGTGTGTAAATCCTGGATCCTCTAATGCCTCTAATGGCATCAGTTGGAACTTCTGTTGTTATACTAGCTTCCATGTTGTTGTACTAGCTTCCATATTCCAACTCCCTGCCTGAGCTTCTCGACTGTGGCTGGTTGGCAGACTATTCCAAGCCACCCAGGGCCCAATATTAAAGTGGTCATTCACCTTATGTGTTTTTTATGTCAGAGCAGGATGCTCTGGATTTGGGGAAAATGTTGTTTTCTCTCCTGTTATCTCCTATCATTCTCTGGAGCAACCCACCTCTGCAGAGAGACTGGGCCTATTAGATTGGTCCACCCCGGAGACAAATGGACTTGATTATCAGAGAGAGCTTGGGGTTGTTCTAGAATGTCTGCTATATAATCCAGCCGAAGTCTTGATAGCTGCTTGGAATGGGAGAGTAGTTCTGGTTTTGGATTAAATTGCATTTAAGCAACCTCTCTGCATTCATAGTTAATAGAACTCTCTATGCTATACAGAAGAGTTAAGGGTTAAGAGATGCCTAGGATATCACTGGCAAACAACAAGGAGTAAAACACTTAAACATGATCTAAAGCTACTATTGGAGCCTACTTCATGACGTTAAAGGTGGTAAAATTTTATTTTACCACCTTTAAAATGCTGCCTCAACATTCATTATAGAATCTGCATATAACTGCCTAGAAGTCTTGTTTCAGGTGACCCTGTCCCTCCTTTGAAGGAGTAATACTGGGATCTACCTATAGGGTTGCTGTGAGGAATGTCCTGCATATCTAGTCTCTCTACATTGGATTCCAACCTTTGGGCAGAACCAGTGGAAGTTATAGGGGCTGAATTGTGCAATTATCTGGGGGAACTTTGATTCTGTTGAATGTGCAGAAAGATAGTTGCAGCTGCTAGTTTGGCCTCTTCTGTGTTATTTCTGAATCCCTTGTGGTTGGTCAAAGCTTCCTGGGAGAGGATGCCTTGGGTCTGGGTGGTGGTTAATTTTTCTTTGAGGGAGGAGGTGATGGAATGCCCTCTTCTCAAAATGCCATCACTAAATCCAACTAATTTGAATAGTTTTCATTTAGTCTCCAACTTCTCCTTTTTTATGGGAGGTTATGGAGAGACTTGTAACATGGCAGCTTCAGGTGATCCTGGATGAAATGAATTGTTTGGATTCCTTCAGTCATGCTTCAGGATATATATGGGATTGAGACACTATTTGTTGTGCTCTTGGATGACCTTTGGTGGGAACAGACTGGGGATAATGCATCTACCCTTTATTTCCATGATCTCTCAGTGCCCTTCAATATCATCAATCATGATACTTTGTGAACCAGCTTTGGGAGTTGAGGTGAGCAGTATTATGCTGTAGGGTTCTCTTCTTCCTCAAGAATTGCTTTCCATCAGATAAAAGAGCAGAGGTCCAACCCATATCCCCTACTTTTCATTTTAGTGAAAGGGGAAAAAGTCCCAATATGTCATGTGATGCTTCCGTGACGACATGAGTTTGACACCCTTAATATAGAGCCTGGCTATTTGAGAGACCACTTATCTCTAGCTTTTTCTTTCCATCTGATACAATCAGAGGATTCTCTTAGTTCCATCTATTAAATAGTATTATCTTATGGAACACAGAAACTAGTTTACTGTGTTGCAATACCTGTTCTCTTGAACAATATCTTCCCAAGATATGTGTGACTCCCACTCTTAGGATGCTAAATAAAATGCATCACTCTATGTTACATTGAGAAAGAAGGTCAAATTTGAGTATATATATAATTCAGCAAGCATGCTAAATGTAACTATTGAATTAAGAATGTTTACTTTTTTTTGCAGATTGACAGCAGAATTACTCCGCCTCCTTTGTGTGGAATCAAAAGTCAAGGAACAAATCAAGTTGTATGAGGGGGTGCCTATTCTGCTTAGCCTTCTCCATTCTGATCATCTAAAACTACTCTGGAGTGTAGTTTGGATTCTTGTACAGATTTGCGAAGATCCTGATACCAGTGTTGAAATTCGAATTTGGGGTGGAATCAAACAGCTCCTTCATATTTTGCAAGGGTAGAGCTTTGAATTTATCTATAGTAACAGCAGAGAGAATGTGTATACTCACATACAAACTTTCAAACTACTTTTTTCTCAATGCATTCAGCTTGATTTCATGTGAAAATTAATTCCTATTAAAATATGTTTGTCTTTGAATGATATTGTTTTATAGAAAGATTTTCTGAGACTCATGTTATAAAAATGCAGGTATAACTTTCATGAAATATCGATATAGCAATTCCTTTAGGAAGAAGAGATTAATGTATCAGAACTCATTAAATAAATCTGTACAGAATGTTCATTACTTATACAAACCAATAGGAGGCAATATCTGACCAATTTAATCCTATATTGGGACTTGCCATACATATGTAACTAAAAAAAAAATCTTATTCTATAGGGTTCAACTCTGTCTTTAGAATTGCTGTTTTTAACTCAGGATGTCTGTTTTGAGAGGCCTACAGTCCCATGGATTCCATGGTTAGTCTTGCTTTGGAGAAGAATTTCTAGGATAATTCTCACAGTAGATTAAGCTACCTGCCTCATGTGCTGCTCCTGCTAGTTTCTGAAGTTAACTTTAAAAATTGTTTAAATTTTTAAAGAACTTTAAAAAATGGTGCTCAGCCCATACAACAGCCTCTCCAGGCTCTGATTCGTCATTCTTCTGTTTCTTGCCTTTCCAATTCATGCAGGGATGATAAACCTTGTTAGCTGCCCTCTCTGGTCCTAACACACCTATGAGCTTTCATAGCTAACTAGGGACTTGAACCATGAGCTTGCCAGTATTAATTCAATACCTTAATCAGTACATCACACTGACTCATAATGTGCAAGGATGTATAGAACATATACATTCATGATTCTAATTGCAGATCATCTTAGAGATATATGCAGACTGTTTCTTCTACTTTTCTAGGGAACGAAGTCTGTTTTTGGATCGTTCTTCCATTGGGAGTTTATCTAGTGCAAACATAGCTGGGAGAATCCAGCAGCTTCATTTATCAGAAGAGTTAAGCCCGCATGAAATACAAGAAAGTACATTTTCTCTTCAAGCAGGTACAGTAGTACTATGATGATTTATATCAATGAAGTTATTTGTGCCTGAACAATGCATTAAATGGTAATCAAAGACTAATGGATCAATTAAATAGTAAATTCAGTAGGTTCTGTACAGATATACATACGCTGATTGTCCTATAGAGCAAGGAGAGTATGAAGCCACAGATACTTTATTTCCCTCAGTCTGTAGTTTTCCCCAGATTACATAAAGTGTTAAATATGAAAGGATTAATTAATTAATTTAAAATGTTATTTTAAAACCCAAAAAGCATACAATTGATAAATACCTTCATGTATAGGAGCAGTGTGAGATAATGTTTGGTGATTTATTTTAGCCTGTTGTGCCGCAGTTACTGAATTGGTCCTTAATGACACCAATGCCCATCAAGTAGTACAGGTGAGAAGTCTTTAAATACCTTTGAGATTAATTTTTTTATTTGTATTTATATAATGCACATTTCTTGGAATAGAACTAGTATTGGTTAAAAATATGCTGTCTACTGATATAAGGACTGGAGGGCCTATATTTGCCACTTTATCATTTTATAATTAAGACCTGTGTGTAATTTGAATTGCTGAAGGCATGCTATTGATATCTGCCTCAGCATGGCTGCTTCATGGCTAACTGTTATATAGAGAACAAGAATGTATCTTAAAGAGCAAGTGTGTCAGCTAAAGCCTGTTTAAGTTGCAGGTCATGCTGCAAAATGAAAAGTATCTGTCTTTGCTGATAATTTTGCAATAGACAATAAATTCCTTGTGAATCTGACAGACTATTAAATGTTTGATTGTTCTCTGAAATATTATTCCTCCATATATACTTTTTAGGAGAATGGGGTATATACAATAGCAAAACTGCTTTTACCTAATAAGCAAAGGAACATAGCAAAGGCTAATTTATTACAGGTAATCCTTTTTATTTATTTATGGATTTTCACTGCAAATAGTTGCAATTTTGAAACAGAAATAATGTGGTTTATTATGAATTTTTTATTGCCTTTTGAATAAAGAGCAAGATAATCACCAAAAATCCTCCTTCCCTCCCTCTTTCCCTATGCCTTCTAAGGCAGTTTGATAAGTTTAATGTAATTAATTTTAAGGTTAATAAGAATATATAAGACCAGAAAAGCCAACAAACTGCTAATAGTTTCATAAACCATCCTGCACTACTAAATACTAAAATTGATATTCTTCTAGTCTTACAATGTTTTACTCTATTAATGTAAAAATTGCTCAGGCTTTTAGCTTGTAACTGGCACTGAATCTTTAGACAAGAGAAATCAAATGTGGCTTCCAATCCTGTATGGAATTATTTCTATGCATTTTTCTCATTCTAGTGTTATGCATTCAGAGCTCTGAGATTTCTTTTCAGTATGGAAAGGAATAGACATCTTTTTAAAAGGTATGCTGAAGACAAGCTATATTCCAAAATTATTTTCCTTTGAATAAATGTGTGTATATAAGGTACTATACCTTACTTTTAGGGATGCGGTGCTGAGCTTGTCGATCAGAAAGGTCGGCAGTTTGTCAGTTCGAATCCCTAGCACTGTGTAACAGAGTAAGCTCCCGTTACTTGTCCCAGCTTCTGCCAACCTAGCAGTTCAAAAGCATGTAAAAATGCAAGTAGAAAAATAGGGACCACCTTTGGTGGGAAGATAACAGCGTTCCGTGTGCCTTCGGCGTTTAATCATGCCAACCACATGACCATGGAGACGTCTTCGGACAGCGCTGGCTCTTCGGCTTTGAAACGGAGATGAGTACTGCCCCCTAGAGTCGGGAACGACTAGCACATACGTGCGAGGGGAACCTTTACCTTTACCTTACCTTACTTTTATTGTATGTGTGGATGTGTGTATGTATGGATTTACCTGTCAAACTTTGCTTAAAACACTGATTTCCAATAAAAACCTGTTTCCAAAGTCTATTTAGTCTATAAAGGGAATAAAATTGCACAATATATTCACATATTTAATAATAGAATAGTTTTGAAGGCACTGGAACTCCATGACATCTCTGTGCTATAATGAGTGGTCCAGATGTAATTCCTGAACCATTCCTGTGTCCAAACTACATAATTGTGATTATACTGTTATTGCCTGGGGATGACATGACACAACAAATGATTAACTGTGCTTACACTGTTTTTGTGGGAATTGTTCAAAAACAATAAGTACTGTATATACTTTGAAGTGTTTCTCTAATCTTAATTCAGAAAAAGAAATCTGTGCTCCATAACATGGCTTTAGGAAACACTAATAATCCGAAACTGTGTATTTATTTTGCTTGTAAGTGGATACATAATAGACATTATTCACAAGGTCAGGGCTATTCATAGGCTGCCAGTTTTCAAATATTTTATGTCCATTTGTTTTTAGTTTCATTAGATATTCATTCTGGGATGCAAGAATCTGAACAACTGCTAGATAGTAGCAGAAGTTTAGTTTTAGGTATCTTTTTGCTGTCATCCACATTTTTACTGCTTAGTTATTGTAGCCCTGAACAATTCATTTCAGAGTCACCCAAAATCTTTTAGGGAATAAATGTGAAACATAGAGAGGAATTTTTTTAAAAGAGATCTCATATTCAGTGGCATAGAAGAGATGGTGGCAACTTTTTACCTTATCCAGTATCATAGGAAATTTCCCATCTTAAACACATGGAGGAATCAAATGAAGGAATCGAGCTAGCATACTTTAATCTTGCTTTATTTTTGATAGAACAAATCTGCAGAATTTCGTAAGGATTAAACAGGATTTACATGAGAGTAAGAATTATTACATTTGATGTGATTTACTACAAAATATGAATGGATAAAATTGATTTTGTTGAGTTCAGCAAAATCACTGTTGTGCTTCAGTGGTGGGATTAATTTTTTTTTACTACCGATTCTGTAGGCGTGGCTTGGTGAGCGTGGCAGGGGAAGGATATTGTAAAATCTGCATTCCAACGCCACTCCAGGGGAAGGATACTGTAAAATCTCCATTCCCTCCTCACTCCAGGGGAAGGTTACTGCAGAATCCCCGTTTCCACTATTCCACATCTATTCTCTGCCTCCCGAGTCCCAGCTGATCGGGAGGAAATGGGGATTTTGCAGTAACCTTCCTCCGGAGTGGGGTGGGAATGGAGATTTTACAGTATCCTTCCCCTGCTATGCCCACCAAGCCATACCCACCAAGCCATGCCATGCCCACCAAGTTACACCTACAGAACCGGTAGTAAAAATTTTTGAAACCCATCACTGGGTTGGGGGATTTCCTACATTGTGTCAAATAGTGTTAGTAACCTAGATTGACAAGATAGGGAAGCTGAGCATTATAACAACTTTCTAATTTTAATTTTCCTTTGTGTCCATGGGGCAGATTTATCTTAAATTAATAAAAAACTTTCTTTCCAATAAATATGGAATTTTATGAAGGAAAGGGATTGAACCAACTTTCCTTTAGCAAGAAAGTTCTGATGTGTTACTCACATGTGTAAAGGTAGAACTATTTTATCCTTAGTACATTTGTCAGACACAAATTATAAAAGAAATTAATTTTTAAAATGTGAGAAATGAAAATGGGTATAAAGCTGATTCAGTATTCCATAAGTATTTACAATTATATTTTTATAGGCTCTTTCCCACAGACTTGTTTGAAAGCTTCATAGATGTTGGGCATTATATTCGTGAGATCAGTGCCTATGAAGAGCTAGTACTGAAATTAAATGCGTTACTGGTGGGTAGCATATGTTTTTCCTTATTCAAATGAACTCAGTCCCTGCCAAAATGTTTCAGCTTACTCTGGTTTTTAAATGTCGTCTTTGAATAAAATATTGCAAGTTTTTGAAGGAGAACTTTGAAAACTGCTTTTGTACAAGAGAGAGCCCTATAATGCTATTGTAGTATGCTTTGTGATAACCTTAAAACACCATACTTCTTTTCATGTGCTCTAGTTGCATAAATTTCATTTAAGAATGGGATAGTCAAAGAAGTGTTCTTGATTGAAATGAAAAAATGGGTGAAGATGGTTTTTAAGGGGAAAATAGGACTTTTATAAATTATAATCATTGTCTAAAATTACAACAATAAAGTAACTTTTGTAACCAGGAGGATGAAGTTAAGCAAATTGCTGAAAATATTGAAAATATTAATCAGAATAAAGCACCAATGAAATACATAGGCAATTATGCAGTTTTGGATCATCTTGGCAGTGGAGCATTTGGAAGCGTTTATAAGGTAAAACTGCCTTTGATTTGTTTTGAATATTGCTTTTCTTACTCCTTTCAATAATTCTCACACTTGATTGCAAATATATGTTATTTATCTTTATTACAAAGGAAAGCAATATGTTGATTTGACTTAGCATTTTTGTAAATAGAACATTTCCAGTAAATTCATTGAAACAGAATCTTTCAGGCTTGGACTCCATTAACATTAAAAGTTTTTTACATTTTGAGAACTTGCCTATTTGTAGCAAATATTATTTTATTAATGTAAACATTTCTAAGATAATATATCTCAAGTCCTTTAAATAATTTATACTTAGCTATATAAATAATAATTAGTAGTGCTCACAATGTGACCTGGCCAGTTTTCAGAGATTCTGACTTTTTAGTCAAATCTGAAGTTGACATCTGGACATTCAAATACTCATATATCATCCAAAAATATTCTCATTGCAAAATGGGAATGTGGGAACTACATTGTAATTTCTATTATATACTATCTGTTCATATCATTTTTTCTTCTTGCTGTAGGTTAGAAAACATAGTGGCCAAAACTTTCTAGCAATGAAAGAGATTAATTTACATAATCCAGCATTTGGAAAAGATAAAAAAGATCGAGAGAGCAGTGTAAAGAACATAGTCTCTGAATTAACCATAATTAAAGAACAGGTAAGACTAAACAAAAATAAGTTTCAGAGAAATTGTTGGGGGAAGTCTTTCAATTACAGTTTAGATGCCAGTTAAAGTGAAGTTATTTTAATTACTATGCTACTCTGAGTATGTGTTGGCTACCTACTTTTATTCTCCTGCTTAGACTTTCATTGCCTGCTACTTCCTATTCATCCCTAGTAAGTTTGTAGGGGACATGGGAACTGCTATAGTGCACATGCCTTCCTAACCTGTTGCAAGTCATTCCTACATTTGCAGTTGAAGACTAATCAAGAAAAAAAGTGAAATTAGTAATAAGCTCTAAAAACATAACAGAGACATTGTGATATCGATGGTGTTCTTTTATCTGTTGTTGGTGTAATCCCTTCAAATAAGCATTAACGCCACCCAAATGCCAAAAGACATTTTAATATTCAAACCCTAACTTGCCATAATTACCATTTAGAGCAGTGGTTCTCAATCTTCCTAATGCCGCTACCCTTTAATACAGTTCCTCATGTTGTGGTGACCCCCAACCAGGGTGGGTTCTAAATTTTTTTACTACTGGTTCTGTGGGCGTGGCTTACTTTGTGGGCATGGTTTGGAGGGCATGTGACTGGGTGGGCGTGGCTAGCTGGTCATGTGACCGGGTGGCCATGGCTATGTGTATAGGGACTACTCAGAGGGCTGAAAAAAGTCATTTCTGACAGATCCTCGCACTTTTGACTGGTCCTCACACTTATGACCATCCTCACATTTATGCCCGTGCAGCATTCTTAACAACCATGTCACTCATTTCACAACTGCTTCTTTTCACCATGGTAATAAGATAGGGCAAAAAAAGTAAAATGTGAGGATAGTCGTAAATTCGAGATCTGGTCAAAAGTGCGAGGACCAGTCAAAAATAACTTTTTCAGCCCTCTGAGTAGTCCATGTGCACAAAAGGACTACCCAGAGGGCTGAAAAAAGTGATTTCTGACAGGTCCTCACACTTTTGACCGGTCTTCGCACTTACGACTGGTCATCATTTATGCCCATTGTAGCATTCTTAACAACCGTGTCACTCATTTCACAACTGCTTCTCTTCACCATGGTGACAAGATAGGGCAAAAACGTAAAATGTGAGGACAGTCGTAAGTTCGAGGACTGGCCAAAAGTGCGAGGACCAGTCAAAAATAACTTTTTCAGCCCTCTGAGTAGTCCATATGCACAAAAGGACTACCCAGAGGGCTGAAAAAAGTTATTTCTGACAGGTCCTCACACTTTTGACCAGTCTTCGCAGTTATGACTGGTCATCATTTATGCCCATTGTAGCATTCTTAACAACCATGTCACTCATTTCACAACTGCTTCTCTTCACCATGGTGACAAGATAGGGCAAAAACGTAAAATATGAGGACAGTCGTAAGTTCGAGGACTGGTCAAAAGTGTGAGGACCAGTCAAAAATAACTTTTTCAGCCCTCTGAGTAGTCCATATGCATAAAAGGATACATAGAGAGGGATGAAGGAAGGGAAGGGAAATTAGAGTAGGAGTGAGGGTAAGAGAGGGAGGAAGAGAGGAGGAGAAGGAGAAAGGAAGAGGAAGTAGGGAGGAGAAGAAGAGGGGGAGGAAGAGAAAGTAAGAAGGAAAGAAAAGAGAGAGGTGGTAGGTTTGAGGAGAAAGATTGCTGTACAATAAAAAAGATGAAAGGGAAGAAAGCCAACCCCAAACAAATATAACGATATTAAGATAAAGAATGAATTGTTAAACTTTAAAGAATAAAAGAGAACAAATATGAATACATAACAATAATTAGAAACACACATACAAACATACAATGTATTTTCTTTGAACAGAGTATTTGGCCGGTTCACAAATTTAAACAGTGTTTAGTCATTTCAATTAAATTTACAATTTCTATATTTCCTTTTTGCCATATTTATTCCTCATCTATTTTTGTAAAAAACCAATATTGCCCTTCATCCTCATCTCTAATCTTAATCAAATTCAATTTTTCCCTTCTATATTATAGCCCTTCCCATTGTCATCTATTTTTAACATTGGTTAATTATGTAATATTACAGTTGTTTAATACAAATTCAACATTTTAATATAAATCAATTAGTTATATAACTACCTTTTTTGTATATTAATCAATATGAACATGAATATTCCAATTATTTCCATGCAATCCAATTTCTTACAAATCAATTAATTATATTTACCAATAATAATAAACCAAATAATTTCCCCCATATTCCTCCAAATTACAACTTAACCATTTCTGCTTTCAACACAATGTACAATTCATAGTATCTCAATTATTACAATTCCCTAGTTAAATAGAGCTTTTTTTCTTTTGTGTTTTAAAATCTTGAACTCTCCTCTTTTTCCCTAAATTTCCCATTGTTTGCACCTACCTTTTTTGGTGAGGAAAAAGAAAAGAAATCTGCTTAATTTTCCAACGTTGCAGCAACAGCAAAGCAGTTTCAGTTTCGTTTTTCAGCATAGCTAGGGGAAAAAAAATCTGCTCCAGCAAGCAGCAGAGCCCTGAGCAAAACAGCTGAGAGCAAATCAGCTGAGGGTCGGGAGCCAATCTAATCAAGGGCTAATTAGCCTATGCTGAAGCTCCGCGGGCCAATAAAATTACAAAAAAACACCGAACCATTTGTTAAATTGCTGGCTCGCCCGCCCCTCGCCCACCACTATTTATTGGCAATAAATAGTGGTGCGGAGGGGCGGGGCGAGCCAGCAATTTAACAAAGTCCCGCGGCAAGAATTTAAACAGTTTTTTTTCCTCTAGCCATCAGCTGGGACTCAGGAAGCAGCAATAGATTGGGGGTGGGCGGGGTAAACGAACGGCCGGCGATCCAACAGAACAGAGAGGAGGGTGAATGAAGGCCGGGGGGGGGCGAGAGAGGGCTTTGGCGACCCCTGTGAAATGCCCGTTCGACCCCCAAAGGGGTCGCGACCCCCAGGTTGAAAACCGCTGATTTAGAGGAATATCACCTTTAATGTTGTACTGCTTCTAGAATGAGTAGGATTAATATTTTTGTCCATTTTGTCTTGGAGGAAGGGTGGTTGAAGGTAGCAATGGGTGTGTTTCACTTCCTAAAAGTCTCTCACTTCCAAGTCATTCAGACTGAAATCATTGTACTGATTTGCCACAAAATTTCTATGATAGAGTTGATAAACAGATTAAAGGTAGGTATGAAGGTACTTTGTGCTTCCTTTCAGACTCTTATTTTTTGAAAAAAGAAAATAACATTGGAGTACTGGCTCATATCCAGTGTATCACAGACTGCCCACATGTAATCTAACATTTGTACGTTTTTATTTTAGCTTTATCATCCCAATGTTGTACGATACCACAGAACCTTTTTAGAAAGTAAGTATAAGTCTACAAAGTGGCAATACAGTGTATTACTTTCAAAAAATTTTTAAAAAGTCAAGTAGGGAATATATCAGAAGTGTTTACTTTTGACATCTTCAAGAAGATTATTTTGTGTTTTTTTGAAAAATATTAAATTGTTACTTAAAAGACAAGGGAAGAAAGGAAAAGTATTGGAAGCAGAAATTAGAAGTTTGAACAGGTAGCATTATGTTAGCTTTAAAAAAGCTAACAAAATTAGCTTTGTCTTTTCAAGAGCTGAGGTTTCTAGATAGCAGGATTAGCTATGAGTAGCTAGGGGTTGCATTTAGATGTATATGTATGGGGGAATACATATAATCCTTGACTTACAACCATTTGTTTAATGACTATTCAAAGTTATAACGGCACTGAAAGAAGTGACTCATGACCAGTTCTCACACTTATGACCATTGCAGCATCCCCACATTTACTGATAGTTTCAGCAACCAGGGTCCTTGGATTGTTATTTGCAACTTTTATTATGACATGCAAAGTCTATGGGAGAAGCCAGATTTGCTTAACAACTGCATGATTCACTTAACAACTGTAGTGATTCTCTTAACACCCATGGCAAGAAAGATTGTAAAATAGTGCACAACTCACTTAACTGCATTGTTTAGCAGTGGAAATTTTGCACTCAGTTGTGGTCATAAGTCATGTTTGAAGAACATAGTGAATGGGCAGTGATTATATGTGAGTAGAACCATGATTCTCAATTTTTTCCTTGATGGTTATAGAGTTTTGGAGGTTCGTTATTTACATTATCATTTTAGTATCTTTCTCAAATCAGAAATTGTTATTATCTTTCTTCAACTACAGTCAAATGGAGTTTGAAAGACATTAAGTTGCCCAAGATTGCTCTTCAAGACAGACTGTATTATAGGAGATTTCACACTTGATGTTTTTTTATGTACAAATCAATTAACTACAGGCCTACAATTGTTAGTTTAGATTTGATGGCAAATCTCACTATAGCAATTCTGGCAGCATACAATATAAAACTTTGTAAAACTACAAAAACATATATATAAAGCACTCAAAGGTGCTTTTTCAGGAGGCAACTGGACTTTCTTGCTTTTTTCTTTTCTCATCCAAGAAGCTTCTTCAGCTCTGGATGGTGGGGAATGGAAGGATTTATATTCCTTTCAGACAGCTGGTCATTTGCATCCTTTTTGAGGGTTGTTGAAGCACTTGGAGGTTTATTTGTGTCCTCAGGATCACCTGAGTAGTGCTAATAGTAGTCTGCAGTTTTTCTGGAACTCCATTCATACTCCCACATCATTTGAAGAATGTTCATCCCAAATTGCATAGCTAAAAGTCTATAGAGATCCTCAGTCATCCAGGTCATGGTTGTCCCAAAGAATTTTTTCAGGAGGCAACTAGTCTTTCTTATTTTATATCTTCAAAGAAAAAAAAAAAGTCAAGTTGCCTCCTGAAAAAGCACCTTTGGGACAGCCATGACTGGATGAGTGAGAATCTCTACAGACTTGTTGCTGAAAATTGTGTATTTTTAACTATAAACCAAGTCGAAGAGAATTTTTTTTTGTTTACCACTATGAATCTGTTCCAATTAAATAACTAACATCATATAATCAATGAATTAGATTTGATGTAATGTAATGTAATTAGATTTAATGATATCTCTCAAAATTCAGTTTTTGAGAGATATCATTAAGTGGTTGAATCCATAGCTGTTGAGGGCATAGGTATCTGGTTCTGTGTTCCTGTGAGAACATCTGAATAATCAGTTTGCCTTTACATATCGTTTATGCTTCAGAATCTCCAAGAAATATGCCTGCTTGATTTCCCTTGCATAACTATTGTTTACAGAAATAAATTATTATTGTTACTATTTTTTTAAATTTCATTACGTATAGATGATAGATTGTATATTGTCATGGAGCTCATAGAAGGAGCACCCCTTGGAGAACATTTTCATTCTTTGAAGGAAAAACAACAACAATTTACAGAAGAGAGAATATGGAATATATTCATTCAAGTAAGAACCTGAAGTTGCCTTCATTACTACATGTTTTCTGGTCATCAGGAGTCTGAAAAGTCTGAAAACAATGTTAGTGTCATAATATTAATTCAAGCCACTCAAAGTGAAGTTTTCCAATAGTTCTTTTATTCTTGTGTTATTTGGACAAAAAGCAAGGCAACCATGCAATTAAGCTTAATTAATTCCTTTATATTTGTACATATACTTGTCTAATTTCAAAGTTATCTTACTACAATACGTTATGCCCAATAAAGCTATTCAGGTTACTGTGCCCAACAAGGCTACTCGAGTTGCTGTAAGTATTGCTGCCCAACTAGGCTACTCATTCACACAATACTCATATATTCTCAACACAGGTGATCAAATTAGAGTGCATTAGAGTAGGCTGGGAAGCAGATTCAGGGCATCCCATGGTCCAACCAGAGTTGTCTTGAACTTCAGGGTCTGTGTTCATTCCGATTTTCTCTTTATACCCAACTTGTTTACTCAAAATCCATGTGTATGGTACATCTTGCCCCGTCAGGAACTTTACATTCTTACTGTTCATTCCAAGACTTCACTACATTCCGTACACCCATTAATGCTTTACCTGGTATCACCAACAATAATAATGTGGCAGCATCTTTTCCGACTGATAAATACTTTTTTTTTAAAAAAAATTTTTAAAATTTTTTTAAATAACATTACAAACAACATATACAATACTTCACTCTGTGCTATACATAAGAAAGGAAGATTTGGTTCTTCGGATATATCCTCATGATCACCAAAATCCACGTTCTCGGGGTACAGGTACCAAAGCATCCAATTTTCCCAGCGCATAGTCCACGAATGGTTTCCAAATTTTCCAAAAAATATCTTCTTTATAGTCACCATTTCTAAATTTAATATCGCATGTCATTTTATCGTTTATCGTTTAAAGCTGATTTCCACATTTCACAATACCATTCTTCTATTCTAAAATTCACATCTAATTTCCAATATCTGGCTATTATAATTCTACCCATTATAATCATAATTCTAATCAATTCTTTCTCATATTTTGTTGGTTCTATTTCCTTAATTATCAACAGTAATATAGTTTCTGGTCTCAATATTATTGCTTTCCCCATCATTTCAAATATCATTTTCTCCAATTTTTTTTAATTTTTTTAAATTTGATTTATATGCCGCCCTTCTCCGAAGACTCAGGGCGGCTTACAATGCGCTAAGCAATAGCCTTCATCCTTTTGTATATTTATACAAAGTCAGCTTATTGCCCCCACAACTGGGTCCTCAATTTACCTACCTTAGAAAGGATGGAAGGCTGAGTCGACCTTGAGCCTTGGCGAGATTCGAACCCTGCAGTAATTGCAGGCAGCTGGTCTTAATAACCAGCTTAATAACAGGGTGCCTTAAACCCCTGTACTACCAAGGCTCTTAACTTTATCACATTTGTACCACATATGTTCATAAGTTTAGCAGTGGAAATTTGGACTCTGACTGGGTAGATTCGGGAGGGAGGATGGAGGCAAGTCTTGAGAATATTACCTGGGAAGAGTTTGATTCTGTGACTCCGGAAAACGTGGACAAGATACTGGGCAGACTGAGCGCGGCCACATGTTTATTGGACCCGTGTTCCTCCTGGCTGGTGCTGGCCTCTCGGGAGGTTACACGAGGTTGGCTCCAGGGGATTATAAATGCTTCCTTGAGAGAGGGTGTCTTCCCTGCCGCCTTGAAGGAGGCGGTGGTGAGGCCTCTCCTCAAGAAGCCTTCCCTGGACCCAGCAGTGTTGGCTAATTACCGTCCAGTCTTCAACCTTTGCTTCGTTGCGAAGGTTGTTGAGAGTGTGGTAGCGCGACAGCTTCCTCAGTACTTGGATGAATTGGCTTATCTAGATCCGTTCCAGTCGGGCTTCAGGCCTGGATACAGCACGGAAACGGCATTGGTCGCATTGGTAGATGATCTGTGGAGGCCCCGGGACAGGGGTTGTTCCTCTGTCCTGGTCCTATTAGACCTCTCAGCAGCTTTTGATACCATCGACCATGGTATCATGCTGCACCGGTTGGAAGAGTTAGGGGTGGGGGGCACCGTGTTGCGGTGGTTCTCCTCCTTTCTTTCTGATCGGTCGCAGTCTGTATTGACGGGGGCAGAGGTCGACCCTGAGGCCCCTTGTATGTGGGGTGCCACAGGGGTCGGTTCTCTCACCCCTTCTGTTCAACATTTATGTGAAGCCGCTGGGTGAGATCATCCGTGGTTTTGGGGTGAAGTATCATCAGTATGCTGATGATACTCAGCTATACATTTCCACCCCGGACCACCCCAATGATGCCCTTAAAGTGATGTCCCAGTGCCTGGAGGCTGTACGGATCTGGATGGGGAGGAACAGACTCAGGCTCAACCCATCCAAGACCGAGTGGCTGTGCTTTCCGACGTCCCGATATAGTCAATTGGTGCCATCACTGACTATTGGGGATGAGTCATTGCCCCCCACGGAGAGGGTTCGCAACTTAGGCGTCCTCTTGGACTCACGGCTGTCTTTAGAAGAACACTTGACGGCTGTGGCCGGGAGGTCTTTTTATCAGTTTCGCCTGATTCGCCAGTTGCGTCCCTTTCTGGATCGGGACTCGTTAAATACGGTCACTCATGCCCTCGTCACTTCACGCCTGGACTACTGTACTGCTCTCTACATGGGGCTCCCCTTGAGGAGCACCCGGAGGCTCCAGCTGGTCCAGAATGCGGCCGCGCGGGTAGTTATGGGAGCAGCATGGCGCTCCCATGTGGCTCCCCTCCTGCGCGAGCTGCACTGGCTCCCTGTGGTCTTCCGGGTGCGCTTCAAGGTCTTAGTTATCACCTTTAGAGCGCTCCATGGCTTAGGACCGGGGTACTTACGAAACCGCCTTCTGCCACCAATAGCCTCTCACCGCCCAGTACGCTCCCATAGAGAGGGGCTTTTCAGGGTGCCATCAGCCAAACAGTGTCAACTGGCGGCCCCCAGGGGGAGAGCCTTTTCTGTGAGGGCACCCACCATCTGGAACGAGCTCCCCCCAGAGATACAGAAGATTCCGGACCTGCGCACTTTCCGCCGTGCCCTCAAAACATTCCTGTTTCAGCAGGCCAGCCTGGCCTAACTTTCCCTTTATATTGCTTTTTGATTTTATTTTAAACTGGGATGTCTTGAATTATCTAGGACCAGAGTGTTTAGTATATTTTAATTGGTTTTTTATTAATGTTTGTATTACATGTATTTTTATCGTTCGCTGTTCACCGCCCTGAGTCCCTTAGGAATAGGGCGGTATATAAATTTAATAAATAAATAAATAAATAAGTCCCTAATTCCATATCACATCTCCAACATTGTTTACTGATTTTGTTATCCATCAAAGACAATCTTAATGGAGTCAAATACCATTTCCAAACAACCTTATAATTATGCTCTTTAATCCTTACAGATAAAGTCTTCATAATTCTACTCTTCCAATTCACATTCCAATCTAAATCTGATATTTTAATATTAAGTTCTTTTTCCCAATTCAACTTCATCACCCTTTGTGGTTTTCCATCAAAATTTATAATCTTATATATCTTACTAACGAGTCCCTTTAGCCTAATTTCATCTTTCATAATTTGGAATACTAAATGTTCAAATTCAGTTTTACTTCTACTTATCGAACAATTGTCCCTTACTTTCTTAGTCCATTTTTCTATCTGTATTTTTTCAAACCAGCCTAAACCCAATTTTTCAATGATTTCTTTTTTCCTCCTTTCATTTTCTGAAGTTTTTAACCAATCTATTATAATTTGCATATTTTCATCTTCCATTACCCTATCACGACTTATATTAGTTTTAATCGGCCAATTTTCAATTGTCTTCCCTAAGAAAATTATATCTGGAATTAAAATTTTAACAAATTTATTCCAAATTTTACTCAGTCCCTTTAACCAATAGCTATTAATTACACATTTTGATTTGGCTTTATCTAAAAACCATGTTGAGCCAAATCTCTTGATGTCTTTTAATTCTAAATCTCTCCAATGACTATCTTCACCTTTAAATATTTTTACCATAGTCCTAATAGCATAAGCCCAATAATAATTGAGTAGTTTGGGGATTCCCAATCCACCTTCCTTTTGATTTTGATACCACATTTTCTTCACTAATCTAGGTCTTTTCCCCACCATTGCAAAATTTATCCAATTTCTTCTGATATCCTTCAATATCTTTCTCTGTCAAGTTTAACGGTAACATCTCAAATAAAAAATTAAACTTTGGCAACAACATCATCTTACACATTGCAATTCTACCAAACCAAGACAACTTTATCATTTTATATTTATCTATCTTTTTCTCAATTTCATTCATCACCACGTCATAATTTAGTTTTTTCATTTCTTTAACTTTGAGTGAAAGTGTTATGCCCAAATATTTCAATGTATTTTTAATCCTTATCCCAAGTTGTTCTTGCATATTCTCCCACTCCTTACCATTATTATTCATTAATAGTTCAGATTTTGACCAATTTATTTTCAAACCTGTCATTTCCTCAAATTCTTCCAAATGCTTATGTATCTTTTTCAAATCTTTCTCTATATCTTTCAAAATAATCAAAGTAAAATCCGCATACAGATTTATCTTATATCCCTTATACTCTTCCAATTCTTCATCTTTTTCTATCATTTTAGTCAAAATTTCCATAACTAATAAAAATAATGTTGGAGATGGGGACATCCTTGTCTCGTACCCGCTTCCAATCTTATCTCTTCTGTCAACCTTCCGTTCACCTTCACTCTTGCACTACTTTTTTGATACAGTTTTGAAATAACATGTATAAACTTATTACCAAAACCTAGTACCTCAACGATTGTTTTAATAGTTTCCCATTGTACAGAGTCAAAAGCTTTAAAAATATCTAATGATACTATACCTATTTTATCAGCATTATATTCAGCAACATCTATAATATTTAATACTCTTCTGACAATATCACTCATGTATCTACCCTTCACAAAGCCTACTTGGTTATAAATTATATATCTATCTATAAATCTACTTAATCTATTACTTATAATGGCGGTAAATATCTTTGCATCTTGATTAATTAAAGAGATGGGCCGATAGGACTCAATCCTTTCTAAGTCTTTATCTGGTTTAGGGATTATAGATATCACCGTTCTATTCCATGACAACGGAACTTCTCCACCATGTAAAATTCCATTAAATAATCTTTGCAATTTTGGTATTATTATTTCCTTAAATTCTTTATAAAACTCAGCAGGTAATCTATCTTCACCTGGAGCTTTCCCTAATTTTATTTTTTGTATTACTCCATTAATCTCGTCTTGTGTTATATCTTCTTCCATCAAGTCTTTATATGTTTGGTCAATTTTTACAACATGTTTTTCTAAATAACTTCTCAGTTTTTCCCGATCAATTAATTTTTTTGAATATAAATTTTGAAAAAAGTTCCTGACCACTTCGCATTTTTCTAATTTTTTATAACATCTTATACCCTTATCATCTATCAAGGCTCCAATTTCTCTCTTCTCTCTTTTATTTTTCGCCATCCTTGCCAATAACTTAGAGTTCTTATTACTAAATTCAAAAAAAATTCCTGTTTAAATATCTCATATTCTTTTTTACCAATTCTATATCCTCTTCTATCAATTTATTTTTTAGCAAATTTAGTTCCTCCCAAAAATTTTTTTTCTTTAGTAAGCAAAAATTGATTCTCCAATTCCTTAATCTGGCTTTTATCTTTTTCAATTTTATTTTTATAATTTTTATATTTTCTGCTTGATAACTTGATACTTTCCCCTCTAAACACTGCTTTCATCGCATCCCAAACAGTTTCAAATTTAATCTCTCCATTATCATTCAATCTCCAACATTCTTCCCATTTTTTAAATATCCATTTTTTATCCTCCTCATTTTTATAGTTTTTCATCATATCTCCAACTACTTCCTTTTTTCTCAAAATTAAAATCTATTTCCATCGTAACTTCTGCATGATCAGAATCCTTAAAAATTCCCACATCTATTTTATCCACATTATTCAACAAATCTTTAGAAACTAAGATATAGTCAATTCTTGAATATGTATTATGTATCTTAGAGTAAAAAGTGTACACTCTTTCAGTTCCTTTCACTTCTCTCCAGGCATCCACCACACAGTTTCGAAACATCCATTTATTTAAGGTCCCCATTTTATTTGCTCCTCCACAACGAGTGGGGTTAGTACTATCTATTTTATCTCTAATTAAATTAAAGTCCCCAGCCACAATTACTTTCCTTACACTTTCAATTTCCAAAATTTTAGTTATTTTTTCAAGAAATTCTTTTTGCTTCTCATTCGGTAGATATAAATTAACCAGTGTCACTTTTTCCTTATTAATATTTCCCACAATTATTACATATCTTCCTTCATCATCCACGATTACTTGTTCTTTTTCAAAATATACCCTATCTAATATCAATGTTGCAACTCCTCTAGCTTTTGAAGTTCCAAAAGATTTTTCATAAATTTGCATACCCTTTATATACATTTTATTTGAGCCTTCAGATTTCTGATGGGTTTCTTGCAAAAATAATATATCTGGTAAATCTCTTTTAATTTTAAGTTCCAATCGTCTTCTCTTGATCTGGTTCCCTGTACCCATCACATTCCATGTCATTATTTTTATTAAACCCATTTAAACTGTAACTTTTTTAATCCTTTCCCCTCCTCTTCCTTTCTGTGCCCAAATCCCAGCACCAATCTCCCACATTCCAAACAACATTCAACATAAAATAAAAAAAATAAAAAAAAAATAAAAAAGACAAAAGACACATCAAACATTAAATAACAAACAATCTTCGTCCCCCACATCCTCAATTGGTTTCCACCTCTATAAAGAGAGTGGGGGAGAGGGGACGTGCTAATGGTCGGGTCACTTCTTTCAGGTAGTCTACTTAAATCCATCTCTCAGAGAAAAGGATGGTAACTTTTCCCCGCACTCAGCTTCCTGCAATTCTTTTTCAAGATCCTTCAATTTCTTATCCGCTCCATCTCCCATTATATCATCACGACTTTTCTTTTGCTCAACCATCGCAGGTGAGATTTCCTTCCGCTTTAATCCTTTAGGGTCTTGTCCTCCAGCAGCCCCTTTTTCTTCTGGTGTTGATGTTTTTGCATATGTTCCACCCATCTTAAGCATTTGATTTTTTATCTCTGTTATGTCCTCATACTTTACAATCAATCCAAGTTCATGTAAGTATGACACTGCATCTGTTTCCAAAGTAATTATTTGTATTCTTCCTTTATAAAAAAAATTTAGTTGCTGTGGTGGCCTCCAGTTATATTTAATTCCGTTGTCTCTCAAAACCTTTATAATTGGCTTCAAAAAAAATCTCCAAGCTCTTTCTTCTCTTGATATATCCGGAAAGACTTGAATAATTTTCTCCTAAAATTTCAAAGCTTCACCCATCTCTCTCACTTTCACCATCACTTCCAGTTTGTCACTAAGATTTGCAAATCTGACAAGTACATTTCTATTTAAGCCATTTTGTCTTTTATGCCCAATTCTAAAAACACTTGCCAGATTTGTTGCTGTAAATGTGATTTGTGTATCCAGGTCATTGAGCCATTTTAAAACTCGTTGTTTCAAATTGTCCACTTTTTCTTCTTGAATTCCTCGAATAATCAAATTATATTTCCTCGCTTCTTCTTCCAAAAGACAATTTTTTTTATCTTGTTGTTCATTTTTAAAAAAGATTTCTCCAATTTGCCGATCTATCTTTACATTATGTGCATGAATCTGCTCAATTTCATCTTTAATTGTTGTCATTTCTATTGTTTGCTTTGCAAAATTTTCATTCATTTCTTGCTTCATTCTTTTAATTTCCAATGTCATATTATCCATACTATCTGACAGTCCTGATATCTTTTCACTAATTTTAGTTAAGGCCACAGCAACTTGTTGCATTTCTAAAGATTGTTGGGTCGCCATTTTTTAATAAGTTTTTAATTGTCCACTTTTGCCAAGAGGGTCTTTAATGAAGATTAAGGGACAGCAATTCCCAAAAGAAAGCTGAGACAGCTTATTATTGCACTCAAAAGGGCCAACAATAAAAGTTTATAGTTCTCAATTCAGCTTGCGTAATTTCCTTTAAAAAAAAAAAAAACCTAACATCCGTTGGAAGGCACTGCCCAGAAACGTTTTGCCGCTTCGACTCAGGCACTTTCACAAACAAAAGATCAACTTAAAATTCACATATTCTTCAAAAAAAAACCCCTTTCCACCGGTCTTTTGATGTTCCGTGCCTTTACCCCATAGCAAAAACAAACACAGATCGCGATAATAATGAGAACAAAAGGCAGCTATTTGCTCCAAATACACAATCGCGACTGTCTATCTGGTCACCCCTCACTCCTTCCACTTTCCACGCTATGAAAGGCTTCAAAATTCGAGAGGTTCAGGGTGACCTACCGATTCCAAAATCAGTCTGCTTGGCCAGTAGCTCTTCCGATACAATTTATAAAATTGTGGCTCTTATCGGTGCATTTCAAACACTTTAATCCACATTTGTCTTCTGTAAAATGCCCTGTGAAGTGGAGAAAACGTCCTCACATCACCACGGCCATAACCACGCCCCCTGATAAATACTTTTAAAAGATCTAAACTTTTCTGAGTTTATTTGTTAGTTGGAAAAGGTACTGTCTTACTCCTACTTTTTTTTGACACCATAACCTAACATAGTTTTCCATCTGTAAGGATCATATAGTAAATAATATATTGATGTTTGTTAAACAAGGATCTGTCATTTTGTCCCTTCTGAAGTATCCATGTTCATTTTGTTTGCAATAAGACAAAATTGTCCCTAGAAGTAACTGATCATGAAACTTTTTGCCAAAAGTCTATCAAGATAATATAATCCATAATATCATAGTGTTTCAAAGGCAAATCCCTCTCTTGAGGAAGCTAGCAAAAATAAAACACTGTGTCACTTCTCCTTTAATAATAGAGTTCGTATATACCTCCCTTTTAGAAGAAATGCAAAACAACATGCAGCACTTAACAGAGGAAAGTTTCCTCCTTTGCAGCTGTTCTGGATACAGTGCTGTCAGCTGCTTGCAAAGCAAAAAATGGGACTAGTACACTTTGATCTTCTAATGAACTGTAGTAGCCATTTTGCTTATTATAGGACACTCATAAATTATCCTTTCAGATTGTTATTTAGAACTTTATTTCCATTAAAAGAAATTGTTTAATTAGTGCTGATGTTTCTGGCTTTGTATTGTATTAAGTATTATTATTATTATTATTATTATTATTATTATTATTATTATTATTATTATTATTAAGCTGTGTTTAGCTCTTCGTTATTTGCACAAAGACAAGAGGATTGTCCATAGAGACCTCACTCCAAACAATATCATGCTGGGAGATAAGGATAAAGTAACAATCAGTAAGTTCTATTTTTATGATCTTATTTACATTTGATAAAAAATAATCAGGATATTGATATCAATAATAAACTAATGATAATACCTACATGTTACATTTACTCTGAAAAACATCTCAGTACAATAAGTGGAACCATCTAGTTGAGAAACATTTCCTCTTTTTAAATATAGTAATATGTTTTACTGGGAAATAAGATCAGATGAATGTCATTTATGATTATATGAATATGGCAATATAGGTATTAGACAGCATGCCCTTTTCTTATTTTCTTTTTGTTTGTTTGTTTGTAAGTACCTTAAAAAGGTGCAGAGTAGTGAATTACTTCAGTAGACATTAAAATATTAGGCTATTTTTAATGGACATTCCAGAAAATACAGTATCTATTAAATATGTATGTATTATTCCTTCTGTGTGGAAATAGTATATTTTCCAGAATTAATGCTGTTATTTACATTTTTATGCTGTTTATTCAAAGTTGTTATTGCCTGTTCTTACTGTTTTTAGATCAGTTGTTTTATATTTTTCCTTCAGAAGGAAACATTTTGCATAAGTCAGTCAGTCAGTCAGTCAGTCAGTCAGTCTGTCTGTCTGTCTATCTATCTACAATAGATCTCTCTTTATCTCTGTCTCTATCATATCTATTTAATCTATATCTGTAATCTAAATTACATTCACACATTGATGGATAAAATAGGAAAGACATACCTAACATCATATTGGTTATTTGTATATAAGTATAATATGAGTAATCCCTGCAGCTATTCCATAGAATTGTTCTTTCCTAAGGATATTTAACCTTGACTTTTATATCTTTGCACATGGTCCATGTCTTAGTCTGACTTCAACGCAATCACTTGTCTTTTATTAATTTTATTAGACTATATGACATTATAATATAAAATACAAATGAAAATAAAATCAGAAAAAGTGTGAAAGAAGATGTTGGATAAAAAGAAATGGAAAAGAAAAAAGCAGTGACTTCTGGCTCCTTTCAGTGCAGTAAAATACTGAATGCAATTTTATTGCCAACTTTTGCTTTGTATTTTGAATAACTAAAGGCTATTTTCTATAGCTACAAAATCAATCCAGTCCTCAAAACTTAAAGTAAAAGTTATTTTTTTCTTCTATATGGAACATAAAGTCCAAAAGCAAATTTCACATGGAAATGAAACTGGATAAATTGTTCTCTTGGTTTACTAGTTGGTTTTGCCATCTCTACTAAGTCCACAGTTTTTTCCATCTAGTCTTCCATTTTGGGAAATGATGGAGCTTTTCATTTGCCTATATTGAATTTTCAACGTATATAAAGACAAAGTACCAGGCTTTCTTTGTGACCAACAACTCTAGAGAGAAACCTTCTGATTTCAGTTTTATATCCATTTTAGAAATCAATTTTTTAAAAGAAAATTACCATCCTTACAATTACAGTTACTACAATATTTACAGTTGTTACATCCATATAATTGCAGGTCTATCAGATTTTTAATACATCATTTTGTAAAGGTTTTCTTTTAGGTGAAATTGTGCAATATTGAACATAATAATTTTCAAGATTCAATTTCAATAACATTTTATAAACGTTAGCAAAAATCCTACTTATCACATTTTCATACTGAGTTCTATAGGTTCAAAGCAGTGATTTATCCAGATTAAATCTTTCTTTTACTTAGATATATAAATCAGTAAGAAATCTTATCTTTCTGACTCCAATTCTTCTTTCATATTCAGTCTAAGTCACCCCTTTCAACTTGTCTCAACAAAATAAAATCTTTCTTTCAAAATATTTGAAGGACATTCAGAACCCTTTCTTTTTCAAAATCTTGACAGATTTTTTTTTTCAGGACAATTTTATTTGTGTATCAATCTTTAATTCAGATTTGAAATGAGATCCAGACCTTGTTCTGTTATGGCTCGCGGTACCGAAGTTCTTTTAGTTCCATTAGGACAAATGTATTTAAATCACTCTCATAATGAATAGGCTTACCATTGTGTATTTCAATTTTGTCATTTACTTGGTTTTTTGCCACTTATAATGGTTTGAGAAGTTTCTTCGTTCGGCTTCATTGCTAGATTATCAATTCTTACTCCTCTTGCTTAAATTATTTTGTCTGAATATTCCTCCTTCTCATGAGATCCAGCTGGATTAGTTCCTCCTTTATAGTTTGGTGGTCATCTTGTTTATTAAATCAAATTTTGCTTTTCCACTGTTTTATAATCTTTGACTCCCTCTTGTGGTCAAAGAGCAAATCTTATACAGTGCGGGAAAAAAGTATTTGATCCCCTGCTGGTAGGCATGCCTTGACAAAGAAATGATCAGTCTGTAATTTTAATGGTAGGTTTCTTTTAACAGTAAAAGATAGAATAACAAACAAACAAAAATCAGAAAAACTCATTTCAAAAAAGTTATAAATTGATTTACATTTTAATGAGTGAAATAAGTATTTGATCCCTTTGCAAAACATGACTTAGTACTTGGTGGCAAAACCCTTATTGGCAATCACAGAGGTCGTGTTTCCTGTAGTTGGTCACCATGTTTGCACAGATCTCAGGAGGAATTTTGTCCCACTCCTCTTTGCAGATCCTCTCCAAGTCATTAAGGTTTCGAGGCTGACGTTTGTCAGTTCAAACCTTCAACTCCATCCACAGATTTTCTCGGGATTAAGGTCTAGAGACTGGCTAGGCCACTCAAGGACCTTAATGTGCTTCTTCTTGAGCCACTCTTTTGTTGCCTTGGCCGTGTGTTTTGGATCATTGTCATGCTGGAATACCCATCCACGATCCATTTTCAATGTCCTGGCTGAGGGAAGAAGGTTCTCACCGAAGATATGACAGTAAATGGTCCCATCCATCCTCCATTCGATGCAGTGAAGTTGTCCTGTCTCCTTAGCAGAAAAACACCCCCAAAGCACGTTTCCACCTCCATGTTTGATGGTGGGGATGGTGTTCTTGGGGTCACAGGCAGCATTCCCCCTCCTCCAAACATGGCGAGTTGAGTTGATGCCAAAGAGCACGATTTTGGTCTCATCTGACCAGAACACTTTCACCCAGTTCTCCTCTGAATCATTCAGATGTTCATCATTCAGACAGGCCTGTACGTATGCTTGCTTGAGCAGGGCGTCCTTGTGGGCGCTGCAGGATTTCAGTCCTTCACGGCGTAGTGTGTTACCAATTGTTTTCTTGCTGACTATGGTCCCAGCTAGCTTGAGATCATTGACAAGATCCTGGGCTGATTCCTCCCCATTCTCATGATCATTGAACCTGCACAAGGTGAGATCTTGCATGGAGCCTCAGACCAAGGGTTTGTGTTTGTGTTTCTTCCATTTGCGAATAATCGCACCAATTATTGTCACCCTCTCACCAAGCTCCTTAGTGATAGTCTTGTAGCCCATTCTGGGCTAGTGTAGATCTACAATCTTGTCCCTGACATTCTTGGACAGCTCTTTGGTCTTGGCCATGGTGGAGAGTTTGGAATCTGATTGATTACTTGCTTCTGTGGACAGGTGTCTTTTATACAGGTAACAAGCTGAGATTAGGAGCACTCCCTTCAAGGATCTGGTGGCGCAGCAGACTAAAGCACTGTTATTAACATCAGCTGCCTGCAATTACTGTAAGTTCAAATCTCACCAGGCTCAAGGTTGACTTAGCCTTCTATCCTTTCTAAGGTAAAATGAGGACCCAGATTGTGGGGGCAATAAGCTGACTTTGTATAAATGTACAAAAATATGAAGGCTATTGCTTAACACATTGTAAGCCGCCCTGAGTCTCTGGAGAAGGGCGGCATATAAATCAAATCAAAAAAAAGAGAGAGAGAGTGCTCCTAATCTCAACTCATTACCTGTATAAAAGACACCTGGGAGCCAGAAGTCTTGCTGATTGATAGGGGATCAAATACTTATTTCACTCATTAAAATGAAAATCAATTTATAACTTTTTTGAAATGTGTTTGTAGGTAGTACACTTGGGAGACTGAAGTTCTATCTTAGCTAATTAAATTCAGTTAAAATCAGAAACTTTTACTTTCCCATAATAAGTACCCTCACTAGTTACTAGTAGTAAATACATTATCAAGTGATCATGGCAGATTCATAGAAAAAGACAAACGATACTTTAAAATTTTAAATGCTTATGTTTGTCAAAGACCAATTAAAGAGAGAAAATATTCCAAGCTTCTTTATTTTCCCCTCCTCACTGTTTAGCACTCATAGTATTTCTAAATAACACTACAACCGAAAAGAGACTCTTTTGCATCAATAAAGGCAAATACCTAAAGAATTAAGAAATAGAAGGTATGTCTTATTGTCCAAGCAGGCAGGAATAGCCAACACTCCAGAAGATAGGCTCAAGATACTAAGGATCTTGACAGATTTAAACACTGTGCCCTATCCAACAAAATGAAATACATTGTTGAGAAAAGTAAGGTTCTACATTTATATAAGGAAAAACAAGCCAGCAATGTGCTGCAGCAGTCAGTGGTGGGTTTCAAATTTTTTTACTACCGGTTCTGTGGATGTGGCTTGGTGGGTATGGCTTGGTGGGTATGGCATGGGAAGGATACTGTAAAATCTCCATTCCCTCCCCAATCCATGGGAAGGTTACTGCAAAATCCTAATTTCCTCCTGATCAGCTGGGACTCAGGAGGCAGAGAATAGATGGGGGCCGGGCCAGTCAGAATTTTTACTACCGGTTCTCCGAACTACTCAAAATTTCCGCTACCGGTTCTCCAGAACTGGTCAGGACCTGCTGAAACCCACCTCTGCTTCAGCTGCCAAAAAAAACCAAACCTAGGATGCATTAACAGAGCAATAGAATCAAGATCATGTGTAATGTTAGTACCACTTTATAATATCCTGGTAAAACCACGCTTAATATTGCATCCAGTTTCGGTCACTATGATATAAAAAGATGTTGAGACTCTAGAAAGAGTGCAGAGAGAGCAACAGAGTTGATTAGGGGACTGGAGGCTAAAACATATGAAGAATGTTTGCAGGAATTGGGTATGTC